ATGGATGGATGGATGTATGCATGTGTGTATGTGTGTGTATGTGTGTATGTGTGTATGTGTGTGTGTATGTATGTATGTATGTATGTATGTATGTATGTATGTATGTATGTATGTATGTATGTATGTATGTATGTATGTATGTATGTATGTATGTATGTATGTATGTATGTATGTAGTATGTATGTATGTATGTATGTATGTATGTATGTATGTATGTATGTATGTATGTATGTATGTATGTATGTATGTATGTATGTATGTATGTATGTATGTATGTATGTATGTATGTATGTATGTATGTATGTATGTATGTATGTATGTATGTGTGTATGTATGTATGTATGTATGTATGGATGGATGGATGGATGGATGGATGTATGTATGTATGTATGCATGTATGCATGCATGCATGCATGCATGCATGTATGTATGTATGTATGTGGTCGGCCATATTTATATACACACACATTTCATCACATATCCAACCGTTTCATGATCTTTCCATCATTCCAAGTGCGTCCCAGCTTCGTGGGGTTTGCGATAGAAAGCCGTCTCCAAGTAGTAGAGCTCCGTTCCACTGCTACGATGAAAGCCTGTGATAAAACCATCCGCCGAGGACCAGCCGGCGCTATCAAAGCTACTTGACCAGTCAGCCGCATATTCCGTCGCCGAGAGGTAGTAGTTGGTTTCGGTGTTCGTAGGAACCTAAGAAAAACCGAGGAGATCGATCCTAAAGATTTCTCAAGCACATATGTTTTGAATATGAGCAACTACATGAACAGCGCTGACTCTTTTTGAGCCACCCCTACAGATATCAAGATCGCAGCTCAAAAGAAACCGAAACATGTACCGCCAAAGCTGGGCGGCTGAGGTAGAACCCACTGAGTCAGTGGCATTTGTCGAACAATAAGAGTCCAAGAATCCATCAGAAATTGTGAGCAGGATCATCATCCCACCGTTGGGAAGAAATGCCTGCTTGTATGTATGTTGTGTATAGTACAATATACAATGCTATTTCAAAAAAAAATGTATCTAATTATATATATAATATATATATGGCGGTTGATCTAAATTCCTTTATCTGCAAACGGCCATTCTTCGCGAATAAATACTTTCTTTCGCGGATCTTTCGCGAACTCCATGTTTCTCTTACGCCGAACCCATGTTGAGCAACAGCTCTTCTTATGAAGATTCATTCACACCAAATTATCACCTTGTAAATGTGCAGCTAGGGGCGTATCAGGGGCTGCTGCATGTGGAGGTATTTGGAAAGGCTCACCTTCGGAAGTTTGGCTCCTACCTATGAAGGGGAAGGTCAATGTGCGGTGCCATTCTCCTGCCGGATCCCCGGGCGGCAGGAGGTGGTAGCCCTTAACAAGCTGCAATGTATACAATGATAATGATTCATAGTATCCAACTTTCGCGAAACTGTCGCGAATAACTAGACGACGGATGGCTCGAGAGTGTAGAGGAGCAGGGTCTTCTCTTGTTAGTATGGAGACACCATATTACAAAACAATATAGTAAAAATGTGTTGTAGGCAGACGAGAAGAGGAGTATCAAGACAATATAGCGCAAGTACAAGACAATAGTTTGCATCGTATCTGTCAAATAGCTTTACACACACAGAACTTTTTACAGAGAGACGCTTTTACACACAGATGCTTTTAGACACAGACACTTCTACATACGGAAGCTTTTGCGCACAGACATTTTCACACGCGGAAGCTTTTACACACAGACGCTTTGACACACATAGGCTTTTACACACAGACTCCTTTACACACAGACGCTTTACACGCAGACGCTTTACACGCAGACACTTTTACACGCAAACACTTTTACATACAGACGCTTTTACACACAGTAGCTTTTACACAGACGCTTTTACACACAGACGCTTTTACACACAGGCACTTTTGCACACAGACACTTTTACACACAGGCGCTTTTACACACAGACAGTTTTACACACAGACGCTTTTACACACAGAAGCTTTTCACACACAGACGCTTTTACACGCAGACGCTTGTACACGCAGACACTTTTACACCACAGACACTTTTACACACAGACGGCTTTACACACACAGAGGCTTTTACACACAGAAGCTTTTACACACAGAAGCTTTTACATACAGATGCTTTTACACAGACGCTTTTACACAGACGCTTTTACACACATAAGTCACATAAGCATTTACACACTTTTACACACAGAGACTTTTACACACAAACGCTTTTACACACAGACGCTTTTACACTTTACACCACAGAGGCTTTTACACACACATGCTTTTACACACAGAAGCTTTTACACACAGCACACAGAAGCTTTTACACAGACACGTTTACACACAGAAGAAACCGCAATTTTACCACAGTTTTTGGCGATTGAACCTCACTTCGTCCGAAACGATTGCACAGGACAAATTGAAATCGCAATGTTACTTAAGTTTTTGGCGATCGAACCTCATTTCGTGCGAAAGGGTTGCGCCGGACGATTTGCAAATCGCAATTTTACCTCAGTTTTTGGCGATCGAACCTCATTTCGTGCGAAAGGGTTGCGCCGGACGACTTGCAAATTGCAACTTTAACTCAGTTTTGGCGATCGAACCTCATTTCGTGCGAAAGGGTTGCATTTCGTGCCGTCTCGTTGGCACGGCCCCGCGCCTTCAAGAGAGAAATGGAAAAGAAGGAGAGGGCAAGAGGGCAAGAGGGCAAGAGGAGAAGATGTGAAGATGTGAGGATGTGAACAATGAGCAGATGTGAAGATGAGAAGATGTGAAGATGAGAGGATGAGAAGATGTGAAGATGTGAAGATGAGCAGCTGTGAAGGTGTGAGGATGTGAAGATGAGAGGATGTGAGAAGATGTGAGGATGTGAAGATGAGCAGCTGTGAAGGTGTGAGGATGTGAAGATGAGAGGATGTGAAGATGTTAGGATGTGAAGATGAGAGGATGTGAAGATGAGAGGATGTGAAGAGGAGAAGATGTGAGGATGTGAAGATGAGCAGCTGTGAAGATGTGAGGATGTGAAGATGAGAGGATGTGAAGATGAGAAGATGTGAAGATGAGAAGGTGTTAAGATGAGAAGATGAGGAGAAGATGTGAGGATGAGAAGATGTGAAGAGGAGAAGATGTGAAGATGTGAGGATGTGAAGAATGAGCAAATGTGAAGATGTGAGGATGTGAAGATGAGCAGCTGTGAAGATGTGAGGATGTGAAGATGAGAGGATGTGAAGATGTGAAGATGTGAAGACGAGAGGATGTGAAGATGAGCGGATGTGAAGATGTGTAGATGAGAGGATGTGGAGATGTGAGGATGTGAAGATGAGAGGATGTGAAGATGAGAGGATGTGAAGATGTGAAGATGTGAAGATGTGAAGATGAGAGGATGTGAAGACGGGAAGATGCGAATACGAGAAGATGTTTTACAGACCCCCACTATTGGAAGAACCCTGCGCTCAGACGCTCTCGGGAAAAATTCTTGCGCGAACTCGCAAAAAAAAACGCGGGGGTTTCCAACATAATACGCACGGCTTTCGCAATTAAAACTCCTTCTAAGGACCTTTAGATCGACTGCCATATATATATATATTTGATGGTTGGTCAAAAATCTTTTTTCCTAAAACGACCATTCTTCGCGAAAAAAATGTTACTTTCGCGAAACTTTCGCGAACTCCACGTTTATCTTTCACTGGGCCATGTTGGGCAACAACGCCTCTTATGAAGATTCGTTCACCACCTGGCAAATTACGCCAGGGAATCACGGATCACTTCTTGATAGCCCTTTTTTAACATGCAGCTAGCATCACGGAATCCCTTCTCAGGACTGATTGTTGCTGACTATTTTTTGGCAAGGTTTACTGACCCACCCCCTTCAACATGCACTTTGACTTTTGCCCACTCCTTCGCAAGACTTTCGCGGAACTTTCGCGGATATCCCTATTCACACAGACCCCGGCCATCAGCAGGGTGCGCATTGAAGGAAAAGCGAACACCAGGGGCCTTTGTCTTTTTTTCTCGCAAAGCCTCACTTTTGGAAACTTGGCTGCTGCATGTGGAGCTTATTTCTTGAGACTTCAAAAATCATCATTAGGCAATGACAGCAGCAGGTGCAAGGATGTGCTTCAGGACCATGGTGCTTGGCTGTCGCGAGGCCTCACCTTTGGAAGCTCGGCTGCTACTTATGAAGTGCACCAGTGCCCTGCTCCTGCCGGACCCCAGGCGGCAGTGGGCGGGTGGCAGCCCTTTAAATCCAACTTTCGCGAAAAAAATGTTACTTTCGCGAACTCGAATAAAAAACTTTCGCGACATAACATGAAGGGTCTTCGCAATTAAAACTCTTTACAGGGACCTGTAAATGGATCACCATCATTATATGTACATACAATGTGTATGATTCAAAGCGTCTCCTGGACAGGGTGGATGACCATTTCAAGCTGCAAAATACCGGAAACCGCAGGTGCTTACATTCGAACGGCAGATTGGGTGTCCAAATCAACTCCGCAGCGCCCCGGGCTCGGACGATGTGACCTTGCGGCACTGTTGCTGGCAAACCGGTTTCTGCGCCGCGTCTCCTCAGTGCACGCAGGTACTTAAGTGGCATGCCGCTGATCATTTTGACTGTGGTGGGCCGGCCTCCACCTTGGCTTGGGCATCCGTGTCGCCTATCGCCTATCGCCGCCTTCGCCTTGCGCAACTTCACGGCACGCTGCTTTGGTTGGATCCTGCCTCGCCGCTGCCTCTGTCTTTTGCCGCGCCACGGCTTCCGCACGGCAGCGGCTTGGGTCAGTCGGCGTTTTAATCCAACATTGCATACAATATTGCATACATCTGATACATACGATACAATCGATACATGTATATATACATATGATATGATTATAGAGACATATAATTTGTACATATATAATGTGAAACCACTGTCGTATCCTGGTTTCAAAAGTTGATGAATTTTGCTTTACCAAGCAACTCCGAGTTCACAGCAATAGGCAAGCTCAATCCCCTGGATGCCGGACGTGCCACTCCGGTACAGCCCGACCAAGCCATATGGAAAGGGGCAGGTTGATGAACCTGAACGTTCGACGTGGACGTGCGGCAGATGATGAATCTGGGAAATCCGTTGCGGTGTTAGAAGGCTGGGATACCAGAGGTTGAAGGGACAAGAGAGAAATTGTGTGGACTTTGTTTATGTTCATGCTTTGATTTTCGATGAAGACTCAACTGTAGTAAACAATCGTGCTTTGGTGGAGAAACAAACCTTCTCCATTAGAAGATTGCATCTATACTGTTGTGGCCATGCAAGACAGTTGTTGCAGAAAGTTCCACAATCTGCGGGAAAACAGGATCATCCCACTTGGGAAGTGCTGATCCTATTGATCATTGGAATCATTGGCTGGATTTCCCCCACCGTTTGCACAATTCGCACGGTTCTCCTCCGTGCCCAGGCACCTGTGTCGTCGAAGCTGGTGCTCCAATCTGCAATCTGACACTGACCCCAACGACCTGCCCCTTTGGGGCGGCAGCATTTGCCCCATTCGATGCAGCCGATGTGTTTGCATTCCCAGGGCCCTCGGTTCCTTGGAGAGGAATTGAAGAAGCCGGGCTTCGGGAAAACAGCATAAACAAGTGTAATGATACTGAACGCTTATCATAACAACATATAACAACAGCAATAGTAGTTATAGTGATACAAAATAGTTATAGAATTTTAAAGAAATAAGTCTCAAAGGATTGCAAACCATCGCAATACCAAAGAGAACGAATCCCTTACGCCTTTTTCCCCCGCGTTGTTAAAGGATGCTCCCCATCCAAACCAGTCACATCATGTCGCCAGGATTCAAGCCATGGAAGAAGTAGCCATCTGGACACAGGCCCCAGGAATTTGCATTGTCCAAGGCTGGACTCAAATTCACATACTCGCACTCCTCTTCATCAAACTGAGTGCTGCGATATTTGGCGGCCTCAGTGCCAGATGGCCGATCTTTAGACCCGTTTGAGGTGCTGCTTGAACACCCAAATGTGGCTCAATGCTATCAAATCCAGGCTTTCCCAAGATCTAACCACGTTTCAGGGTTACTGAATCAATCATTTCAAGTCACTCTACATTGTAACCAGGCACATCATTCCGGATTTCTATCTGTTCTTGGTGATGTTTCAACTCAAACCCTGGTTATTCCTACATCCCCAGCAAAAAAAAAGAAGCAGGGTATTCTTATTCTTCTTTTCCCCCATCAAGAAAACACGAAAATCTTTGCTATGTTTCCCTCCTTTTCACCAGTCGGCATGGTTGCTCTCAGAATTCGCTATCATCAGGTTGGTCACCATCAAAAAGTTATCCCGGCAAAACAAACAGGTGTCAAGGAGAAGATTGCTGAGAAAAACTCATGACACAAACGAATGTCTACAAGATCTTCATACCAGGGCCTCTAAGAGAATCTCACAAGGTCGTCATACAAGGACAATCTTGAAACAAGAACCGCCTCCTCCTCGTAGGAGATCCACAAAAGCTTGCCAAGCACCTCTAAGAGTACATTTTCTCAAGATATTCATGGAAGGGAAGGACCCCTGATAGGATGTCACCAGGATCTCTACAAGATCTTGCCCAAGATCTTCACACAAGGACCGCTAAGAGAATCTCACATGATCGTAGAAGGATCTTCTAGAGAATCCAGAGGATCTTTTGACGAAGATCTCTGATACCTAAAGACTGCTAGGTACCACGACGAGAGAGATCCAACACACACACACAGACACACACTCGAGAAATCGACGTCCAAAACAAACTCGGATGTCATACGCTTTACGATTCTCAGCATCTTGTGCAAAAAAACTCTTGCGCCTGCCACGAAAAAAATGAAGCTGAGGCATCAGAAGTCTCGCAGTTGCCACTGAAAATAATCTCAACATGGTCAATTCAAAAGGAACCTCAATCCAAATGACCTGCAGCAGCCACAAAAAAGAAAAAAACATGGCGCCAGAAAGGGACGCGGCACGAAGGCATGTGCTGTAGCACTCACCAAATTAGCCGGACATGAGTGTGCGAATCCTTGATCAACCTACCATAAGAACCCCAAGTGTGGCCACTTGCCTTTTGGCTAAATAGGTTCGTCTCAAAGTGTGAATCCCCCTATTTGACGACCGTTTTTCACCATCGTATACCATCGGCTTCAGCCACTTTGAGACAACCCCATCACCAAGTTTTCGGGGCAAACATTGGCAGTAATCCATCCCCATCCAAAAGGAATCACCAAAATTCCAACTGTGCCTACATTTTGTGCCTACATTTATGACCAAGTCCAAAAGGTGAAATAATCCTTTGGAATTGTAGATTTTGTAGGTACCCTATCTGCTTCAAATCTCGCCAATAACCGGCTTCCCATTGGGAAAAAAAATAATTATATAGCCATCAACACAAAATAGATTGTAAAAAAATCACCCAACTTTCCCAAAAATCTCGCCTCCAAGTTGTACAAGTTGTTCTCATGACTGCGCCGGAAGCCGGTGATGGCCGTGTTGGGTGGGGAAAAGCTCCAGCCTTCGTGATCGAAGCTGTAACCCCAATCGGCTTCGTACTCCGTACTCGCCAGGTCCCAAGCCTTTGGTACGACCTTCAGGGCCACCAACATGGCGAACGATCCATGGGATTGAACGGAATCATCATGGAATGCAATGGAGCTTCCATAAGGATTGTATCGTTTTTTTGGGCGAAAATTTTGATGGGAGTATAGTATCAAAAAAATCCCTCTGCCATGGCTATGGAAACCAAAACCCATGGCTAGATCATTTAGCTTGATGATTTACTTAAAAGATATGTTGATGTTCCATAGCTGGAACTCTTAAAGTACCAGAGGCATCCTGATCATTTGTCCATGTCGAATCACCATCCCATTTTCGGATGAAAAAAATGCTTGAGACCCACGGCCCATAAAATGGAAACATTGCTGGGTGCTGAATGATTTCCTCATTCTTGCCATGCCCACGATGCGAAAAATCTCCCGATTCCCGAGACTTTTGGTATAAGATGATAGGAAAAATAAATAGAAGAATTTGATATGTTTGTATACACATCAGTACTGATTCAGTACACATCTATTCAATCCTCCAATCTTCATCAATATCTTCATCAATCCTCCAGAAATCGTGGCACATTAATCGTGGCGACCCCCTGGCCTTCTTCACATCGTCCTGGTTGAAGCCCTTCAACGCAGCGATCGCTTTCGCCTTGGTTCCCACGGAGACGAAGGGCATGGCAGTCAGCACCACCGCGAACTGATCCACCAGATCCACCAATCTGCGCAGGTGAAAACCATGGTGCAAAATGGCTGTGAAGTACTGCAAAAACCATCGGAAAATCTGTGAAAATCTGTGATCATCACCAGTTGTCCCAGATGTCGCCCTTTATCCCATTAAACATATTAAACAGCTGCTTTTCTCAGGTCATTGTCCCTAGTGGTTTATGGCCATTTCAGTAGGGAAAACAGATGATTCATCATGAAATTTGAGAGGCCCCATGCACCGAAAATGATGAACAAATTTTCCCAATTCGTGGATCACAAGGGCAGGTCCAATCAGTCCAATCATCACCCAACGGCGGTGTTTCGGTGTTTCCCTCCACGCCACTTGATGCGCTTCTCGGGTGAATTGAAGCCCCCGAAGCTCACCTGCATCACCTCTTCACGGAAATCCCACTGGGCATGGCTCATGGAACCGGAAGATTGCCATGTTTCATGGCCGGTCTTTTCAGCAAAGAGGGGTTGGTTTAGCCATAAAATTGGTGGATGTAATTGACACAAATAATTTGGTGGAAGCTCAAGACAGCCATGTAAAAAGGTTGACTTAAGCATAGAAAATGGATAGACATTGGGGGTTTTACCAGTAGAATAAAGGCAAAGTCTTCGGGAAAGTTAAGCGCAGAATCCAACGTAATCATGCAAAAAATACTGTGCCAGGGGGGTGAAACTGATCTCTACCTTGCAGTGCCATGTCAAAAAACGTTGGTGTAGGAGACAAACAAGAAATTAGAAACAACTTAAAGATGTCAAGGGGGAGACAAAAGTAATCCCAATACCCACTGTGATATTGGCGGGGCAGGGAGAAAGCCCTTTGCTTTCGGTGATGATTTTCGGTGACGATTTTCGGTGACGATTTGCCACAATTTTCGGTGATGATTTCGGTGACGATTTTCGGTGATGGATCACGAGAAGACTCCAATTCTCTGGCAAGCTAGGTCGTTGACTAGCTGTCTATGCGCAGGATTATCTATGTCAAATGGGTGTGGTTGGTTCAGAGTTTGATAAGCATCATCATATGTTGTTGTTAACCATTGTTGTCGAGGTTTTCCGGGTCGCTTACGAAATTCCAATCTTGGAATTAAAGTTCCTTTTTCAAACAGAACTTGTCTCATAGGGTCACTAGGCGCAGATCTGATAATATGAGCAAGAAGGGAAAGTTTGCGTTGTTGCCAAATGGAGGAGAACATTCTTAGGTCCGTGTTCATGTGGTTTCTAATTTGAGATTTGACAAAATCATTTGTTATTGTGCGGTCGATATATGTGGGGGGTAAATGTAGGATCCTTCGATATCCCTTCAACTGAAAACTATCTATTCTTTTCTGATCTGTCAAATTTAACTGTATGGTTTCTAATCCGTATAACAGCTTACTTCTGAGGATAGAATGAAAAACTTGAACTTTCCATTTGATGGATGTCTTCGCTTTGTTCCAAAATAATTTGAGTTGATTACATGTACGGGTACAATCAGCAATCCGGTTCATAATCTCTCTGTGGTTGTCCACGGTGTCAGTGAGCAATGTACCTAAATAGAAGGCTGACCTTTTTCTCGGGACCGGTGTGCCGTCCAAGTATTTGATGGATGATTGTTTTTGGTTTAGTGTGAGGTTTACGCATTTGTCTAAGTTCAATTCCATATTGTAATATTTTGATTCTAGCTGTATTTCCTTTAGCAGCAGGTTGATATGATGAGTATAATTCCCAAAGATAAGTGTGTCATCCGCATACAATATTTCAGTATATTCAATACCACTTAGAGGTTCTTTTTGCTTTGGTGTGGTCAGTCTTTGTTTGATATCATGGAAAAGGGTTGACATTAGGATAACGAAGAGGTAGGGTGATAAAGGACAACCTTGTCTAATTCCTGAACGTTGCGTTCTGTAATTAGAACTCTGTCCGCCGGTTGCGACTCTGAATTTAGGAGAAGAATAGATATGTTCAATGGTTTTAAGCATCCTGGGCGGTACCTTTAATCTACGAAGAGCTTGTAGAAGTTTTGATTGGTTTACTTTATCAAAAGCCATTTTCCAATCCAATAGAACCAAAGATAGATTTGACCCTGTACGTTCTGAGATGTCCATCAGGCGTCGGGCAAGAAAGATGGCCTGAGCTGTGGATTTCTTTGGTCTGAAACCGAATTGACTTCTTTGTATCCATGGATCATATGCTTGTAAAAGGCGGTTTTTGATAAGTCCTGCAAGAATTTTGTATAGCGTTTGTAGGAGTGCTATAGGTCTGTAATTGTTCATCTGTGTTGCATCTCCCTTTTTGTAAATCGAGACAATGTTTGCCAATTTAAAGCTTTCAGGGTATATGTCCCTGTCTAGAATGTCATTAAAACATTCAAGCAGAATATGTCTGTTTCCGTGGTTGAGCCATTGAAAGAGTTCGGCTGGGCAATTATCTGGCCCAGGTGTTTTGCCGTGTTTTTGCGTTTTAAGGACATGGTCTAATTCTGCCTTAGTAAAATTTTCATCCGTCATACATGTCTCTCCAGAACAAATATATTGGTCTTCGTATGAAAGGTTAATGTCATCATCTGCGGGCGGTGCCCATTGTACTGTTTCCAGATACGTAGCAGCTTCGTCAGCAAAATCGGATTCTTTGATGATTTGTCCATGTTTGTTTTTGAATTTAGTACGTCGAGGTTGAAACGTTTTACGCGCTGCCTTTAATCCTTCCCATTTATAACCTTGTGCATCTGCTTCTTCCAGCTGTCTTATTGTTGCAGTTTCTCTGTCTTGTCTCGCGTATCGTTTTATGTCTTTATTTAGTTGAGGTAACAGATAAAAGTTGCCATCTTCAATCGCCTTTTCTTTTTGAAGAATTAGTTGCCAGGTACGGTCTGATAGATAATCTTTCTTTTGAGTCATGGGAACCCTTGTGAAATGTTGCTTGGCGGCTTGTGTGACTGCGTGCGCGATGATATCTCCCTTGTCTTGTGTGTGCCAGGATCCGTCGAGCTTCTGCTTTTCAATTATTTGCCTAAAGGATTCATTATATGCTTCGCTTTGCGCTGATGTCGGCTCTCTATATTTAATATTGGTTGGTATTTTAAATCTCTTTTTGGTCGCCAGCTTAACTTTTAATGTTGCAATTAGCAATGCGTGATCTGAGTTAATTATGGTGTGGTGTACGTTTTCAACATTCGTGACTGCGTTTCTCCAAGCTGAATTTATCAGTACATAATCTATTTGCGCAAATTTTGTTGAATCGATCTGTTCAAGGTCGAAAACAGGGGCGGTGGCATTGCGATATGTAGCTAATTTAGGTTTCGGCTTTTGAAACCAGGTATTCATAGGCACCAAGTTGTTTTCAAGACAAAAATTTATGAAATTGTGACGGTTGTCTATTTGCTCATTAGTTAGATCATGAATGGAGTTGTTTTCCGCACAGTATACATGAGCGCCAATCAAGTGCTGTTCATGCGGTAAAGCCTCTATCAGTCGAGCATTAAAATCTCCCACAATAATTTTAATAGAGTGCGAAGGGATTTCTTGCGTTAATTGGTGCGCCAAATTGTAGAACTCCATTTTTGTTTGCGCAGAGTGTCCCGCGTGAGGAGCGTAAAGATTTATTATATTGATTGGTATTGGGGTTGAGTGTATCTTCATGGACATGACCCGGTTATTGAGGGATTTGATGTCAATCTCAGTGCTGTCGAAAAAAGATTTCTTATATAGAAATCCTACCCCTAATTTTTCAGTGCTCCTGTTGATAATGGTCATTCTCTCCCTTTTTGCCTCTACTTCAGATATTTGTTTTTTCCGTAGTCTTTGGTTTAGTGCTTCAAGTTGTATGTCAGTTTCCTTTCGTTGTTCGTCATCTATATTGCTTGAAAAATAGAAATTGTAGTCTCCGTGTTGTTCTTTTCCCGTATAATTTATGTGTGTCTCTTGTAAAGCTGCCACATGAATGTTGTGCTTTTGCATAAGGTATACAATTTGTTGTCTAGCGGCTATATAATTCATGCCTTTCAGGTTGAACGTGGCAATGCGTAGGTCTGTATGCACAATCTTGAGGTTAGTGACACAAAAAGCATGAAAAATGATGCGAAACACCCTGAAATCCCCCTGGTTGATCATAATTGTCCACATGAAAAAATTGTTAGTTTCGAGCCCCATGTCCAGGCAAACCCAGGCAAGTAGACTCTCTTCCGATCTGATCGCCGCCAGTTGATGATTGGCCAGCTGAGTTTTTGCATCCCGACTTACAAAGCCACTATCTTGATCCGAAAGTTGAAAGTTCCCTTCCGTGACACCCAAATTGAATTGCAAGGTTGTCCCAGTTGTCCCTCAACTCCATCCATTTCATTCTGAGGTGTGGGTCACAATTCGGTGGCCCAGAACTAATGACACCAATGAACCTAGAGCTCCCAAAACCTCTGAAAAGGTCGGTCCATTTTGAAAGTACCGGCTTTTACGTACTTTTTATCAAAACAACGGTTCCCCTGCAAAAACCCCGTCTTTGTGCAATAAACCTTCATTTTGTGTGTGCACTTGCCTTGCGAAGTGTGTGAGGTCATATATTTTGATTTGCTTGGTTTGCAGACACAGCCACTGACGATGAAATTAAGTGAAAATCAAAGATCAAGACTAACAAGTAACCAACCCATGCCAGCTAATATCAATAAAAGGGCAGGGTCAGGCCTCAGGTTTGCGTAGAAAGCGGCTGCTATTAGAACTTGAAACCCAATGTGGATTCGAACTTTGGATCTTCGAGTGGGAAAATGCAGTCGATTATTGCTATTCAACCCTTTTTGTTTCGAAGCTGGGAGATGACAATTTGGACATCCAGTGTGCAATTTGTTCAAAATTTGTTAATTTTCTATGCCCTGGGATGGTGAAAACATGGGGACCCCAACATTTTCCCGTACTTATCCCGTATTTACCCCGTACTAAACCCGTATTTTCGAATTTTGAATGAAACCCCGGCTTTCAAAAGCCCGTAATTAACCCGTAAATAAACCGTAATTAACCCGTGGGAACCCGTAAAAAAATTATGGGTTTTTGGGGTCTGGCCCGTAGGCTGCCACAATAGGGTTTTAGGCCCACTGATGGTCTTTGCACGGACAAATTTCATGAGAAAACGGGTCGCTTGCTCATCGTGAAATATTTATTTGCAAATACACAATTCAAGTTGTTGTGTATGTTCCTGGTATGCAAAAATTGACATTGTTTGTCGGAATTTTCGTCGAAGGAAAGTTGTAGATCATGCATTTGAGAAATGTAGGAACAGTTCCCCAACAAAGTCTCTAGCCCGGCACGACACAAGACCACTGGCAGCATGCTGATAACTACATTGTTGATTTGTGAGTATCAAAGGCAAGACTTTATGGGAAAGTGCACTAATGGAAAATTGGGAAATTCAAAAACCCGGGTTTTTGGATAAAACCCCGTCTTTTTCCGATGTACCTGCCTTTTTAGCGGTTTTGGGTTCCCCTGGAATGCCACAGATTTTCCCAGGGCAAATCGACCCACTAAATGTGTTCATTCATAATCATGCGATAATTCTTAAATACCCTGCACCCCCATTGTAAATTTCACTTCACCCTATCCAACGCCACCATCCATTTTAAAAATTTTACTTGCCAAGTCACCAAATCCAACTGGTTGCCCACCATCTCACCCTTGATCTCAAAACTCACCAGGCCAGGATTGCGGAAGCGAAAGAGTTGCAATTCATCTGCGCCGCTCTTCGCGCTGCTTGTCGCGTCCGTCTGAAGCAATCCCAAGCGATGGGCCGCAGCATGGTTGCGATGCTCAGAGAGGATGGTTTGCTCCAGATGCTTGCCGTATTCCATGGTGGCCAAATACAGCTCCTGGAGCAATGCTGAGTGGTTAAATTTGCTTGAATATAAGTCACCTGATGGTACCTGTTGCTGGAACCAATGCTCTATGTTTTGTGCTCAAAAATGGTGCTCAGTTCGATGTGTGTGTGCGCGCAAAAATTGGGTATGCCCACATGATTGCCGTCTAAGTTGGGAAGATAGTATGTGGGTTTGTCTGAAAATAGTGTACCCCTAAACCCAATGGTTAATGATCATTATCCCTATACTAAATGGCTATAATTGGGGCATACCCATGTTATTATATGTTATTAATCTGAATTTCACTGCACGTGGAGGTTTTCCCCAAAGAAAAAAAACAGAGACACCATTTGTTTCATAGTACATAATTCACTTCACTGGATGTATGTGTTCTCTCAAAAAATAAAAAGATGAACTTAGATGGCAATAATCTAATTTGGATTAATATGGGGTATACCCAATTTAGATATTAAAATCTGAAAAAAACTTTTAGAGTATGTGTTCATATCTTTTAAATACATCATGAACCCCAGCCCACATCCCTTTCTTAGCCAGGTAAGGTCCTGGTCCCTCCAGACCAACTCAGGTTGTTCAGGCGTCTGGCTGCGATTTTGCAGCAGCGAAGCGGTGCGGTCCATGGCCTTGACGGCCGGCTGGAAAATCCACTAGAAAAACCAATTGAGAAGTGGGTAGTTTTCTTCACCCCTGGCTGGCTGGAAAATCAGGATTCGGAATGGTTTCAAGAAATTTGTCAAAATAAAAAACATGACATGAGGTCTGCTTTGCCAAAAAAACAATCATTGAAGATTTTGATGAGAAACTTCCAGCTTAGATTACCCCTAGTGGCCGTGAGATGGGTGGTGAGGTAAACATAACCACCCAGAACCAACGCAACAATTCAGGGCTTTGAGCGAAAGCCAACTTTAAAATCAGCATGCGTGAGAGGGGCGTCATCACCCCAATGAAGATTTTCCGAGGTTAAGTTTAATTCGATTCCCATGCTAAGTTTAATTCGAGGGTAAGGCGGAAGCCTTTTTTTCACAAAAACAATATCAGCATGCATAGATGGGCCGCTCACTTTTGGTATGACATACCAAGCATCCCGTTTTGGGGTCAAGTTTTGACAGTCTGTCGTCAAATGAATGGAAAAGGAAGTGATAGGGGGAATCCCATTTGAAATAGGACTGCTATTCCTCAATTCTAAATGCGGGCAACTTTCGGATGTTAAACCTTGCAAACTCTCGCATTGGAATCGCTGGTTTCTACCATGAAATACTGGGATTCCAGGTCGCCCAGGGAAGCCTTTCAAATTTGACATGTTATGGGTCCAGGTCCCTAAAATCATCATACACCGGCTTTTTGAAAAGGCCCAGAAACCAGGTGAAAAGGCTAATTTTGGGGTACCCTCTGGTGAACTAACATAGCGAAAATGGCCCAGTCGAAATAGTGGTCATTTTCCCATGAAAAATGGTGGATCTTTCCATGGCAAAATGTAAACGTTCACCTTTGGGGTATAGCACCCAGTGACTGGAGAAATCCCATTCGGTTGCGGCTCTGACCACCACTCCACCACGCCTCCAAAGTACGGTCATCTTCCACACTATGACTTCCAACCGCCACTCCTGTGGCGCTCTTAACCCCTGGTTGACGATATTGAAAAAAGTTGGCGAAACAAAATCTGCTACCCTCTGGTAATAGCTGACATAGCTATTGAAAATGGCCATTTATAGTGGATTTTCCCATTAAAAATGGTGATTTTCCATAGTTATGTTAGTTTACCAGAGGGTACCCTAAATGAGATTTACTTTGTGAGCGAAACCTCGCCTGTTTTTTTCACCTGTCGCTGAACTATCTTTCTTTAGCCAAAACTGGTAGCTCGGAGCGGCCGTCCTGCCGGGTTGCGGTACGTTTCGTAGGCTGAATAGATGTTGTTGTCCGTAAAGTCCGTGTTGTCTCCTTGGACCCAGTGGGTGACATCCACCCGAATCCAACCACTGATGGTTGCAATCAATTTCCCAAGAAACCAGAAACATTCCCCATTCTTGGCATCGATTTTTTTTCCAGTGCAGTTCCAGTCATGTTCGTGGATGTGTCGGTCTCTATCGTTTTTTCGGGGTTATATCCCAACTTATGGGCTTGATAACCATGGTTATACCCAGTCCAAAGTAACCTCTGCCCAAGTTGGCTTCGCCTGTAATGAACCGATCAATTTTTCATGGCTATTCTGTTGGATACTCAGATCATCAACATATGATGTCCCCATGTTGTTTGTATACTCACAATATGTATATATATATATGTACATATGTAAATAAATGTGTATACATATATATATATATGTACATATATATACATGTATATAAATATACATATATATATATACATACATACATATTTAAATATATATACATATATGTATACATATATATACATATATATATAAATACATATAAATACATATATACATATATATATATACATACATAATCATACATATATATAAATACATATAAATACATATATATACATATATATATATATACATACATAATCATACATATATATATATATATACATATGTATATATACATATATACATATATACATATATATATATACATATATATATATATATACATATATATATATACATCCTTTTTTTCATATAAAAAACATTTTAAAACAGACATTGGTATGGATCAAAATTGTTAAACCCAAAAAATGTATGCAGGAATATAATCACTCCAAAGGAGAATTCAACCAAAGAAAATGGGAATATCCCTAGCCATCATCAACAAACATAGGGATATGCAATCAACTCAATGTGATATGGAGCTACTCATATCCACTTTGTGGCCGTCAGGAAACACGGGGGGATGTTCTCCAAATTCTTGGGGAAGCTCAATGTAGAGCTTCTTCTGATGAGGGATGGCTAGGATCAGTTGAGCATCAATGGGAATCCGAATCACACGTGGGGCACCAATGGACCCACAAAAGGCTTGCCTTTTTGAATCCAGCAGTTGCCACATATTCCTTCCGATTTTACCCATATAGCCATATCAATGTGATTTTTGTTCAAATCCATATCTGCCACAGAACTTGCCATATCTCTACATCCCCATCCCCATTCGAAATTACCATCCTGCCGTCCATGGCCCCAAGGTGGGCCACCACCTTTCCAACCGGCTCCGAAGGCCGGCTTCCGAGGCGCCGAAGCGTTTCACCAATCGTAGCGTGCGACTGTAGAGCATCACGCCCCCCGAGCTGATGACGGTCCGCAAGACGCTCAGGTCGACGCCGCCTGGACGGACAACGGAACAACCTATATCTGGACATGATTTTTGGACGGAAATCATGGGATCTATAACCAACCAAATGATATATTAATATATATATATATGTGTGTTTGTTGGATATTATCAATATAGATCGTTTTTTGTTTAAGGACAGTATCTTGATATACTTAGCCAGGCAAAATAAGGATGTTACCATCAAAAATATAGTGAATTAGCCAATGAACAATGCAAATGGGGCTATAACATAAAATCATATATATATATTGCATATATATATATACTGTATACAACAAAATAACCAATCATATGATTATGGGTTTGTCCAAGAATGGGTTTTCTTTTTCTAATCAGGGAGATCATGAAAAAAGCTACTCAGCAAATACACAGTATAGAAGTATAGCAGCATGATCGTTGAAGACGACGGCGACAACAATGATTGAGCAACAATAGCAATAAATACTAGACAGTGACAGCCACAACAAGAATACACGTCGGAATGATGGGCAGAAATCACCGAGCATCTTAATCAATCCACCGATTTTGTCCAGTTCTTCATCCAAAAAAACCTCCTAAACCTGCCGCACCTGGTTGCTTGTCCGGCCAGCAGACCATGGTATCGATATCCGCCAGCGGTGCGGGGAGAATGTCGAACTCCAAGCCGCCCACGAAGGCCAAGACAGGCTGCATGGAGAGCGCATAGGAAACGGTGACGCACTTCTCAATCGCCATCTCCCAGGTGTAGAAGGAATAGCCCGCCTCGGAAAAGTCAGTTGGATGAATCTATGATTGAGAGGCCATAAAGGCCATCAATATAAAAAGCCATCTATAACCGGTTATATCTGTGGTCTATCTGTGGCAAACTCACCAAATCGCTGAAAAATGAGTTGGAAAAAGCTCTGGGCAAATTTTGAAAAAAGCTCCGTCCAGCTACCCATTTCGTCAGATGATCCTTATCCATCATCCAACTGTTGTCACATGGCACAGCCCATGGCTCCAATTTGATGAAGTCATCTTCGTCATTCACCTGCCAATCTGACTGCGCCACCGCGCCGTTGGAGCCACTTCGTGTCTTGGGCGCAAAGGCCAGGCAGGAGGCCGTGTCGATTTCCTTGCCAGCGAACCTGGGAGCCGGTGTCTGTAGAAATGGAGCCATTAGATTCCCATAGATTCCCCATTTTCCTGTGAATTTACGAATGGGAAAATAAGAAAAACTCCTCTTCAGCAAATGCCGGAAACTGAGTGATCAATTTGGTGGCATAGTTGCCATCATTATCATGGATTTCAAACTCGAAGAGTGAATCCGAATCTCCACCATCATCATCCCCCTCCTGCAAGAGCGATGTTTTCGATGCACGCTTCATCTTGGCCAGTTTCTTGGCTCCGGGCCCGCGTCGGGTGTGTTTCTTGATCGCCAAGTTCTTGCTCGCATGGTGGATGGCTGGCGACTCACCAATCCTCGGGAACTTGCTGGTGGCCGCCTCTGAGAGTAGTGATGCCTTCTCCTCAATCACCTTTCCGGGCAAAGTGGCGATGAAATCCTCCATGTCCCCACAACAATGTTACATGAGTTACATGGTCAAATCCTTGGGTTAATACATATCTGTTTTCTTCCCCAAAACTACCGACCAAACCCATAAAACTTAGGCCCGAATCCAGTGATTCTGGGTTCGATCCCACATCCTTTTTGGATAAAATCACACCAACTCCCAAGAATATCGAAATGTCGATAGCAACCCCCATAAAAGATTCAAAAAGAATCCTACCGAAATAGTGGTGCCTGTTTCACCTGTTCCATCTTTTTCGGCGATCTTTGTAAAACAAACATCGACAAGTCGAAACCGTTCAAACAGGGGGGTTCTAACCGCAGATGATTTTCGGCCGAAAAGGCCACCTTTTTCACAATGGTTTTAGCCACCACTGCAAAGACTTCGATGAACTCCTGGATCATATCACCCATCCTGTCACGAAAATCACGAAAATCTGAAAAGCAAAATTGCCAATCATAAAAACTGGGCATCTAAAGTGTGTTTGCTTTGGGCATATGTCACTAACTTAATATTTCGGTGTGTTTGAAAATGATATGGTGTACTTCCGAGCTATGGCAAGCTTAAGAGGGAAAATGGTGATAAAGCATTGGACAGTAAAGGCATAGCTTTTTTTGAGACAAACCCAAATCTTCAGGGACCGAACAGTAGAGGCTCACCACATCTGCCGATCTCTTCAGCTTGTTTTATTCAGGTGGGCACGTGAATGCAGTGAAGCCCTGGTCGCCTGGTGAGGAAGCTCAATGGAGGTACCTGCTCAATGATCAACAGCCCGAAGCATTTGAAGACCTCCAAGGGCCCTCCTCCGGTGGCGCAATTCACGGCCTCGCCAAGTCAGTAGACAGCACCAACGAGTTGCCACCGGAGGTTTTTCTTGCTGTTCCAATGGGGTTTAATAATCCCCTTTCAATAGGTTAGTCCAAGCCCAATACTAACAAATCTGACAGTAAGCCAGTGGCTTTTTGACGCTGCTCACTTGGCTTTTGAATCAAGCCATATTTTTTGGCTGCAACGTTTATGCAACATTGACCTGGCTTCGCAACCCGAAAAATCAACAAAGGACATGATGGAATGTGGTGCAAAGCTAAAAAGAATGTCTTGTTTTTCGTCTTCACATCAAATCTAATTGTGAAACCAATGAAGAAGGATGAATACTAACAAACATAGTAGTTATAGTTATTATATGTTATGTGTATATATATATAATCTATATATATATAGATATAAATTATTGTTGTTGAATCAATTCCGCATTTTACCAGAGATTCTTTGGCAGGCAGTAGTCTTCACATCTCAAAAACATGGCAAGTTCCCAGGGTTTCAATCTTGACTCAGCCCCTCTGAATCAGGGTTGCGCCTGACGTCCCAGGTCCACCATGGTCTTGATGGGTGCCAGGCCGAACTCTGTCACCGTCTTCAAGGGTTCGGGCCATTGCAGGCTGGTGCGGCCAAAGTCGAAGTCGATGAGCTTCAAGGTCTTGCCCATCATGCTGATCTCACGGGAGCTGACGAATCACTGCTTCATCGAGTCGGAAAAGATGTGTCTGGACATGAAAATCAGTGAGGATCTGGGTTATGAATGGTTATGATATCATATGATATACATATGTTTCATGTTTTGTCAAATCAACTTCGCCAAGTGGTTTGCAACAAAAACGCTTGCGGTGGGCCAGCCGGCCCAGCCGCACCTCGCACTTCTGCCGACCAAAGTCCAAGTCCAAACCGTTGGAGCTCACCGACAGCGACGGCCGCGCGAATTCGGGGCAACCGGCACTCCACCTGGGCAACCGCAACAGCAGGGGTTCCTTGGCAACTTCTGAGTAGGGGAGATATCTTATGGGAGATATAGGTTGAGATAAGTCAGGGAGATTTTGCCAGAAATTTGGGGACTTTGAGCAACAAAGCTATGGTTTTTTTTGGTATCAAAACTGAATCAAAACCACTGGCTGTGTTGTGATTTCACCGTGAAAAATGTGGATCAAAAGCTATCAAAAGGGATTGAAAGCAACAAGTTATGCGGATTTAACTATCAGAAATAGAGATGTTTCACCAAGAAAAATTGTACTTTTTGATATTTTACAGGGATATAATCATCAATGATATGTATTCAACAATATGATACGGTGTTGTCCAGAAGTGATGGATCTGTGCATCCAATATATTGCGAGTTGCTATGATGCTGGGACCCCACGTTCCTTGGTGTTCTTGTGGGGTTAGTTCAAACTAACCCAGCTTTACATAAGCCACGTGGGGAACTTACAATCACCAAGGTTACAAAAACAACTTGCTAAGTGGGCTAGTCTGATAGCACATCCCATGGTTCAAATCCTGATTAAAACCGACCAACCGACCCCTGGGTATCGACGAGAAATTCGTACCGTTACCCCCGTTACCCACTGTCTTGAAAGGAATCCGGGGTACCCCCAATCTCTTTATGAACCAATTCCATTCAATCTCATACAAAGCACATTGAAACCATAACTTGTGCAGCACCAAGGTGCTCGGGGAAGCCGGGCTTGGCCACCGTCTTCAAAGGCTCGGGCCAGTTGACGTTGGTGCTGCCGAAGTTGAAATCGAAGATGGTGACCTGGTGAAACGTGACTCAAAAAGGGAGGATTTCACTGAGAAAAATGGAGGGGGTATAACAAACTCAATGGAATACTTGGCTTTACATGTACTGTATATCTAAATATGTACATGTAGATATGAGTGAATTTATAAGTGTTCATATGGGGTGACAAACCTGCTGGAAAACACATCGCAGTTGTCTGAAAATTTTGAGGAAACCCTGCATGTGATAAACTGTATCATCATCTTCCCCATGGCAATTTTGGGCTATATGCCAAAGTTGGGCGAACCCATATGTGCATGTCTGTCTCTGTACAGTTGGTCCATAGCTACAGATATAGCCTGAAGACATGTTTATGGATGTTTTTCTTTACATACGCATGTATCTGCACAGTGTGTGTGTGTAAAGCAATTCGCGTGTTATTTTGCTCCCTGAAGATTCGAGCACTAAAGGGATGTCTCTGTTCATGTGTCAAGTTTTACGGGGTAGATTGGAGGCAGAGTTATAGACGCATCAGTGGGCATATCCGTTCAGCCCAATCTATAGATATTTATACATATATACTGTGTATATGGTCTATATATATGGTATATATATATATGATATATATGATATATATATATATATGAGTTTGATGTGTACGATGTATATATAGATGGATACATAATGTCAATCCATCTCTCAAATAGTGGCAGTCCCAAAAACAAATCAAAAAGAAACCCACACCCTAGGGCCCCAGGAAAAAAATATGGGGAATGGATTTCCATCGAAAGCACTGAAAAGGTCACATGTATGTAAAAATCAAGAAATATAGCGCAGAAACCCATCAAAGCAACGTTTACCATCAAAGCGCTCTCGTCCAAGGGACTTGATGTTCATCACTTTCGTCTTCGGGGCTGGTTAAGAACGGGATTTCCGAAGACCATGAAGTTTTTCGGGGTTTTTGGGACTAATGGTGTTTTATTAAGCATAATGGTGGTTATAGTACCCTCTGGTAAACTAACATAACTATGGAAAAGCACCAGTTTTTATGGGTTTTTTGGAACCTTTTGCCACTGAAACTGTAAAAGACCAGGGCACTCTCTGTCCCATCAAACTGATCCTGCATTTCTGTCGACCCCAATTCACCGAAACCCCGTTGGAGTCCACATTCAACGAAGGTTTGGTGGCCTCACGGAGCAATATGGTGGGACAGTTCTGGTCAAACAGAATGGGCTCTCATCACCCTGATTAAAGAGGTGAAATGACCAATTTTCCCGCCAGCCCTGATGATCGATGGCTCATGGGTTCACCCGCCCAAGGGGCGCATCATTCTGATACAAATCCAGAAAAGCAACCTTGCTTGTGGATATCTCATCATTTTTCCCTGACACAATTTGGGAAGTGGTCTTGAGAATCTGGTATTCTGCTGTCTACATCCCGAAAACGTTGCCAGAATGGTCGCCAACATCGGGAATTTCGAAGTTGTGGTTGACCCCTACCTACTCTAAATCGGAAACTCATATAGTTGCAAACCACTTTCGATTCCTGAGCATCCAAATGTCTGGAAGCCTCGGTGAAGTAAGTCGAGAATAAGTCAGCTCACAGATGTGAATTCGGAGCTCACAGTCCTTTTCCCACAAAAAACAACGCAACAAAAAAACGGACATCCAAAAAAAACAGCGACCATTCACTATTTTCAGGATTATGGCTACCATTCACTCTAAAATGTTTTCCTTTATTGCGATGCGACCATTCACCCCAGTTGATCTCGCTGAGTCCCATGGGTCCCATGGGGTCCCAGTGGGGCGCCTCGGGGCAATCGGCGCTCCAATCGCTGAAGCCCTGCGTCAGGATGTCCACGGCCATCTCCACGCTGTCGATGGCTGTGTTGGCCACGAACCTTGGCCGATCCAGTGGCCAATGATATCGAAAGCACTATAAATTGTAAAGGAAGTAATGAAAAAATGAATTGCTAGAAATATATGGTTAATCAGCTAGTATATATATATATATATCCATATGTATATTATATGTATATGTATATATATATATAGGGGGTGGAAGGCAAATTTAAGCTAATGATTATATAGTCTGAACTAAGACAGGTACTTGGACATGGAAACTCCCTACTCAACTGTACAGCAGCATGGAAAACTCCAGTTACATCAACCCCGCTGACCACAAAGAGGGAAAAACATGCGATCAGAAGGGTGATGGGAAGAAGGATGTTGGTGGAAAAAACGATGGACACGTTCCAGGATCGGAAGTGCGAGTCTATACGCACGTTCTGGGACCTAAGGAAACCCAGAACAATAAGCCCCGGGAGCGCGAGTCAGTCCGCGTGCTCAAGCAGGTTTGGCTGTAGCCGCCCCCCCAGAGGAAAGCAAGTTCAAGACAGCGGTCAGCTGCTGGTAGAAGCCATCGGCTTGGCCGGGAGCACATGCCTCTTGGAGGTGTTGCGCCCGGAGGCCTCAAGGACCTGGAGCTGTTCCGGGCAACAAGCTCCGGAGAGCCCGGCCAACAAGGTCCGGCACGAGTTCAAGGGCTGCCAGGCAAGGGTTGTTGGAGGTGGCGTCTCCGTTGTTGCTCAGGCCTGTGCGGCCCGTGGGGCCGGATGCCTCCAGCGGGCCGAGTGGACCAAAGGCATTCACGCTCCCCATTGTCCCAACAATGCAGCCGGTCTAGGGTGAATGCCGCAGACGCTCGTTTGTGTTTGCGGCCGGTTGGTGGTGGTGCGCAAAGCACTGCTTGCAGAAGCATGAGCAACTCCTGCCAAGCTCTGCTGTCGTTGTAGTGGACCACGGCCGCAAGGGCACGAGTCAGGACTTGGCTCCACAGGTGCCGAGCACTGGCTGGATGTCTCTGTCATATACTTATGTACTTATTTCTATATATATATATACATATTTATTTATTTATGTACTTATTTATCTATTTAAGTATATCTGTATATGTATATGTATACAAATATATTTGTGTGTTTTATATATATATATGTGTGTAAATAAATATATATATATGTATATATTTATATTTATTTATATATTACGTGTAAATATATATATATATATATTACGTGTACACATATATATATATATATTACGTATATATATATATATATTACGTGTATATATATATATACAATAATTTATTGCGTGTTATATATATATATTACGTGTAAATATATATGTATATATTACGTGTATATATATATACAATAATTTATTACGTGTATATATATATATACAGTAATATTTACGTATGCATATATCCATATATTGGCGACTGTCCTGTTGAGAAGGGTGATTATCCATGCTAGCTCCACGATACTTTGGGTTTATCCTATATACATGTAACTGGGGAAACTAGGGATGGACAAAGAAGAACCTAGAAGACTCTCACCCATCCCCCACCGCACTACTACCATAATCCCCCCAAAGACTCTGATGGCCTTTGTTCAACACTCAAAATCCGGACTTTCCAAAACCGAAAATCGGCTGAAGTCGCCAGTCCTGATCCTGAACATTTTGCCATGACCATAGTGATTAGCCCTCTCAGTGAACGACAGTCTCCACGGAATCAAACTGGGAGTGTCCATCCAGAATCATGGAAATCAGAGATGGTATACTGGGTGTGTAAACGACCCACATCTGGGAAAGTATGCTCATTAGTGTCCAGAAAACATTGATTCCTCAAGTACTGGATGGACTAAAGTGATTCATGCCAATAAATTCCCCGAAATGAAAAGAAATGCGAGGCCCCAAAAACTCAACGTGACATTTTTCGTAGTCAACCATGTGAACTTGGCCTCGATTGATTTCCTGTTTTCGTGGTCCACCAGCAAACCCTGAAGAGTGATGGGAACACCTGGGACTCTGGGGATCAATCCGAATATCGATTGTGCAATAATGAACCCCCAGTGTACTCGTAAGGCGGGGGGTCCCCCAATCATTTGATCCGAAGGACTAACAAAATGGTATCCCGCTCCCAATTCATCTGGGTGAATTACGAGAATCGAACCTGAAATGCCATTGTGGGATGGTTTCCACAATTTTGACCACCATTTCCCACCGTCGGGCCAGTGTGACGGCTTTACAATAAGATTGAGAGTCCGGTACTATTTCAATATCATATAATATCATATAATCCATCCAATTTCAAAATCAACAATTGATTGGTCCACCCTACCACTATCAGAATGAGTACACTAATTACAGCCCTCCAATTCACAGTTCCCAGGGGTGTTTTCAGCGCTGAAACGTCCGAGAAACGCCACCTTATCGGCCGCCTGTGAATAGGCATCTGCCATGGTGTTGGTGACACTGTTGACCGCACTGCTCGCCTACAAAGGGTCCCAAATGGTGGCCCCTGATGGGATCATCGTTCTGCCGGGAAGAAAAGAAATCGATGAATCTATGAAAATCAAAGGCCTATATGATCTAAAACGAGATATCTGAGACCCCACACTCGCTACATACCCTAATCACTTCTTCGTAGAGATCCGAACTATAATCACAAAGAGCCAATCATCATCCCCCGTTTCGGGGTCAATCACAGGTGTTCTATTCCAATAACCCATTGCCTCACATTTGTTTCGAAGAAAAACCTTGAAAGAGAAAAGTAAACAATCCCGAAATCTTCAGTAATATAGTAGTAGTACAGTATACTGGGGAATCTTGGGAAGGACAAACGATTACATTATGAAACAAGAAAGAACCCTCAAACAGGTGACCCCTCAATAGAAGGTGAAGATTCGCCCTGAAGAAAACAATTAGTTGTTGATGACCAAACCACTTGAACCCAAACATTATTGGTTAAATCCCATATTTCTGTTGAATAAAATGAGATTTAGATCTCCATGTTTGGCATATTTTGGCTGGTTAAACCCACATCGATATCAGAACTCAACATCCATCAGAACCCTTATTGTTGAATATTATCGCCCAATATTTCCCTAGTATTCTCTACATTACAGCCCCAATGTTTCTGGTTCATGTACCATCTTACACCCTAAAGGGGTACTATCCCACTATAGCAACCCCCAAAAAATGCAAAGCTGGAAACCTGGAACGCAAATATCATCGAACCTTCCTGGTGTCACACGATTCTTTCGGCATCTTTTTGAGAACCAACTATATTAATCATGGGATATCATGGAATATCATGGGATATCCCCATGGAAGTGTCGTTTCGTTCCCCCATCCCTCCGTCCAGTCACAGCATTGGACACGGTGTTCACCACCGAGGAGAAGATGCGGCGGCGTATCCATCGGCGTCGACGCCTCCTGGAGACCGTTGCGGAGGTGGTTCCAGGGGAGATGGCTCTGAAAATGGGGTATAATTTTAAAAGATGGGGAATCTAACCCTGAAAATTTGGGTCCAGATCATAAAGGACCAATTTTAAGAGGGAAAATCAAGATCAATCGGGGGATTTAGGAAACCCCTATTTTCAGACAAACCCATATTCATCAAGAAAAATAAGGATTGAACCAACCAAAAAATGCTGGTATAATAGTTTTTATCATGGGATGTAACACATGGTATACAGGCAATAAAAAATTGTTTTAAAGAAAAATAGGGGTATTGAATTGATTGAACCAAAAATATGGTGGTTATTTTACTGGTGGTAAAATAGGACAATATCTGGATTCGGATCTGCACTCCGGTAACAGTTTGCTACCAAAAATCACTATTTTTGAAAACAATAAAATATCATGGAACTACATGGGCCATGGGGGCGCAGGTCGGATCGGGTTCGTTGGATCAGAATTTAGACGGCTGGATCGGAATCTACGTGGGCTGGATCGGGACGGTATAGATGGCAACCTTGTAGACTACCCCCAACCATCCCAACCATCACGACCGTCTTAAAGAATCCCTAAAGAAACCCTAAAAGAGACCCTAAAAGAAACCCTAAAAGAGACCCCCTCATCCCGACCATCCAACCATTCCAACCATGTATCCAAACGACGCAGCATTTTTTGCTGAACAGCTGTCTTACTTTTTCCACGTGGTGAAGCAAAGGTTTCCTTCAGGGCGTCGTTTCGAAAGCATTTAACGTTTTCTCACAGGCTGTTTCTGTCACCATTGATGAAACTATTTTCGTCTCGGACCAACATGTAGCTCACATACCTGCAACAATACAACTGTATTCTTGGAACCCACCATGTTTTCACGATCTCTCAGAGAACGGTATAGTTTCTTTCCAATTGCTGCACATATTGGTCAGTCCGCCTTTTGAATCTTCATACAATACTTGTACACTGCTGCTAACCTTGAAAATGAATCAAACGCGCCACCTTCACAATGCAGTAGCTTCTCCTTCACGTTCCTCATCTACAGTGCTGTACTTCTCGTTCTTCTGGAACCCCAGCACAGGATACAGTTGCTGTAACAGTAAAGTACAATACTGCAAGTTCACATCATCACACGTTTACAATACAGTACAGGGCTGCACCCATGAACAGTACAGTACAGCACAGCACAGTACAGTACAGTTTTTTAGAGCACTGCACAGTACAGTACAGTACAATACAGTACGGTACAGCAAGAGTACGACAATTTGACAATGACACAATGGCGTGAACTTGAAATCCAAGCCTTGGCAAGGAAGTGTTTGACAGGCCCCAAACCTCATGAGCAAAGTGTCTGTGCCATCTACTTTACAGTAATACATAAATAGACTACTCTAGACATGGGAACCACCATGTCATGGAAACAAAGCATGGGAACCAACATGCCATGTGCACGGGCCATGCCATGCAAACAATAAAACAATAAAACACTACTTCTTCATGAACAAAGATATCATTACAATGCCGTACAGGAAAGCATCATCAGCCAGAAGTTTTTAACACATGAAAAGAGCCAGTCGGTTTTGATCGAGGGATGTTGATGTGGAGTTCCACACTCCCTTCATCTGCTCTCTAGTACAGAATCACTTACAGTACTGTAGCCACGCGTGTCGGCAGCAGAAAAGAGTGGGGAAGGATTGTATACTTGCTCGTCTTTTTTCACAGCTTCAGTGCCTAGGGAAAGGCACGGCCACAGTACGGTACAGTTGTAGTACAGAATCACTTTCAGTACTGTAGCCGTGTGTGTTGGCAGCGGAAAAGCCTGTGAAACAAAGGTGTGGAAGGACTGTATCCTTGCTCACCTTTTCCACAGCTTCAATGGCTAGGGAAAGGAACGGCTAGTACTGTACAGTACAATACAAAGAATCATCCCAGAGATGGTCATCTTCAGAAAGTTCATTGGTCTGGGCTTCATGTACAGTACGTTCTGGCCTTCCATAACATCATCATTATCTTCCTTCTGTTCGATGTCAATGGTCGTGGACCTTGAAGCATCTCCATCGTTCCTCGCCGAAGAGTCCTCAGAGAAACATTCACGCTCCTTCTTGGGCAACCTGTAGAACTTGTACACAACAATGGAGCCCACAATCTTCATATTCTTAATCGTACTGTAGTCTCCAACCAGGGTCGGAAGTTCTGCATACAGTACAGCACACTTAGGGCGACGCGGTTTGGCTTCCCTTGGAAGCTTGGGCGTCGGACTTTTTTACTTCAGTGTCCTCGTTCTTGAACAGGTTGCTGATCCTCTTCTTTAGCAGGTTTTGACATCAAATGTTGCGGAGAGAAACATGATGATGAAGAACGGCATGGGAAGCTCCAGTACAGTAAAAGAACCGATCTCCCCTCCAAAAAATGGTGTGAATCAGCATGACATGGCATGACATAACATGACATGACATACCACCATGTTGGGTCAAAGACTGGTGCCCAAGACTGGAAACTAGCATGTTGGGTAAAAGATTGATGCCCAAGATTGGGCACGCGACAAAAAAAAGCTGCGCAGCAACACATCTGAGGTTCTGACTGTATCATTGATCTTGCAAGCGTCCACAAATCGAAAATACAAAAGCTCAAGCGACAACATCATCATCCGACCTCAAGCGGCAACAACAACAATAACAATAACTATAACTATTTTAAAACAAGGCGTCCACGATGTAGATCCTGGATCGTCTTTGACGCTGATTCTGCGACGCTGATCCGGACCTTTGGATGTTGATTCAGGACGCTGCGCTGTGACGCTGATCCGACTCGTTGGTTTCTGATACGGAATTTTATCGGCCCATGGCTTCCATAGCTATGTTAAAGTACCAAAAGGTGTAATGGAGATAGATCGGTTTGAGAATTAGCCAAGAAAATTGAATGGGCATACACAATGGGATGTTTTTGATCAGATTCAAGCAAATAATTAAACCAATGCACTTATCGAACAAAGGGTGAGTCTCGCCAACCAAACTATTTGCTTCATGCCTGGATTTAAGCAACAAAGTCCTGGGGATAATAAATCAGCCAAGAAAAAAGTGGGATGAATGGGATATCCCATGGGATTTGTGATCTAAGTATCAGATGATTTTTTGAGACATCGTTGAGACATAGGTCAACCTTTCTTTGGTGACCCAATGCTGTAAACCGTCACTTTTCGAAATTGGGGATGGCCCACTGGCTTTCAAATCTTAGGACTTCATCCGCTTCAAGTTCAAAATCATACCCAAGTTTCCCATGGGGCATATAAACCTTGAATGTGAGTTTTTCAAGGTGACTTTGCAAATGTGAGTTTCCCCAGTAGATCATTCCACAAAACCCTCCGAGGCTACGTGGGTTTCTTCGTGAAGAAAAGTTGAAAACAGCTGGCAGCCCAATCCCCCGCAGATGATCTATATGTATCTATATGTGAATTGCTGATTTTTGAACATTCAATTGTTCACCCATTCAGTTTTCATGGGTTATTTCAATCATTTTTAGCCCACATATAGCCAAGTCAGTCCGTTGTGAGGGTGGTTCTACTCCCTGTAGCTGAGAGTTAAATTGTCGTTACAATACCCATTTCGGATCGAGGCAATTCTCAATGATCCGAATGGTAGCTGGACACTCTCGACGGCCTGGCCTCAAAAAAAAAGTTAGTGGCGGGTCATGTCCAGGTGGGCCCCCGTTCTGGTCAGAGTCCCCAGAAAAATCTAGCTGCAAAAAGAAATGCGGAACTGGAAATCCACATTTTGAAAACATCCAAAGTTCTGGAAAACTCTGGGGTCGTTGCCCAGAAAGGGCCCACGGCTTGAGCTTTTTCCCCAGGATGCCCTGTGGTAATCTGTGGTACGTGACGCCCTTCCTCCAACCAGTGGAGTTGCTGAGGCTGTTCGTTTCGCTGTCAATCAACGACTGACTCGTATCGCCGTCGAAGTCGTCTGAGACATCTTGGTCAGAGTCTTCTTGGAACTCGACTTCATCATCCTCATCCTGCCATTGGGTGGAGATTGTTCAATGCCATTTACAAGTCATGTTGTCCACATATACACACATTCATGTAGATAGATACATATATATACATACATGTATATGTATATATGTATATGATGTGTATTTTATGATTATATATGTATATTAAAATATATGTGTGTATATTATATAATATACCAAGTTATGTAATCATATAAAGCAATTCATGTGATAGACCTTGGACATAGCCTCCATCCACTCATCTACAGACCACCAAAACCATCATCTCTTTCGTATAGGGGTACTATCTTAGATCTACTGTATCAATCATGATTGCCAACTGTTCGTGGGGTGAGGTCACGGACAAGGTATAGTTCATTTGTGGTTTTGTATCGTGCCCAACTGATCCGTTGACCACCCAACTATCCATTGATCACATCATTTTGTCAGCTGATTTTATCGGGTGAATCCCCATGTCATTGGACCATACCATACCCACTGTGACATCTTTGGGGCCCAATGGATCCCCTTGTGGTCCTCTTGGTGATTCTCTTGCTGATGTCGTTGCAGCAGCGCTTCATTTTTCTTTGCCTCGGCCTTCGCTGCCTCAGCCTTCGCTTTCTGGGAAGGATGGGCTGGATGGTCAGGAGTCACGAAGCGTTTCTTCTCCCGCTGATAGTGATGCTTCTTCCAGACCTTTTTGAAGATATTCCTGGGCTAAAAATGGGCGAACAAAATAGGGAAAATGATGGAAAATGTGTGTCTGCGTATAAAGATAATTTATGGATTGAAATGTGCTTTTCTACAATGGATGTTCATCTCGCCAAAGATAGTATCATTGTTTTCGACCCAAGTCCACGGTACTTTAATGTGTTTGTTCGTTGGTGCTTGGGCGAGAAATTGAAGTAGTCTTCAATATTATCCAATGTCAACCCCGGATTTATAAACCCTTAGTGATAAAACAAGGGGGGCTACCCAAAAAATATTTATATGATATTACAATATATTATATACGCTCTCTAGATTGGAACCCCCGGTTTAACTGGGCTTGGCTTTGCAGTGACCAGCTTCTGCACCTTCTCTGGATGTTGGGGATGATGGATGGACTCCTTAGGGACTTCCTGGAGGGGACTCAACATGGCCGGGCGAATAGAAAATGCCAGGAAGCATTCTTTAGAAAACCCAAAAGAAAAGAGAGACTGAGAGAGAAGCAAAATCCTACGAAAATAGTGGCAAAATACTCTAGTATCTTTTTAGGGGTTGCTACCTCGGAGAAGCGATTTTGGCATTTTGGCCAACAACGCTTTCAACGTGGCAACAGGTGATCCATTTCCTGCACCAAAAGCAGAACTAAACTTCCGAAAACATCCAACCTGGTCCAACCTGGTCCAACCCCCCCAATGTTTCACACATCCCCGAAAAATCGGTTCCGGGGAAGTTAAACCCCAGTCCTTCTGCACCAGGCCGGTCTTGTTTTCCACCGCATTCAGGCGATCCGTCAGGGACATAATCTGAGCCTGTTGCAGCTCAACGATAGTCTCCAGCTCGGCCACCTTCAGGAACATGAACTCGATGTTACGACCCAAGCTGCCCATCCCAGAATCACCCTCCGTTTGGTTGGTGGCCTTAGTTGTTGGTGGGAACAATGGCAGTGCAAATAGTTGATGTAGGCACAGTCCATGTGTATACATGTATGTATTTTGGATATATTATATGCATATATGGAGGTTTCCTAAAATGGGGGTACCCCCAAATCATCCATTTCAATAGGATTTTCCAGTATCAACCAACCATTTTTGGGATACCCCCATTTTAGGAAACCCCCATAAACGGGATATGGGTATGGATGTATATATTTGTATACAAACTGTATGATCCACAAACACCATGTAAGAAACACACAATACTCTTTGCAACAGATTTTCCCCGAGCCATCTTTTGGTGGCCATTCACCCCAAGCCATGTTCAACCAAGAAAGTCCCAGATTACGGTGGTGAAAATAAGCCCTACAATTTAATCATCACCTAACAAACATCGTTCTCCGTGTGATATGTCAATATATATATATATATATGTATATTTATATATGTATATATATATATGTATATATATATATATATGTATATTTATATATGTATATATATATATATATTATATGTATATTTATATGTGTATATGCAGTATACATATATGTATATATATATATATCATTCTCTATCACTATCTATCATTTTCTATCATCATCTGTCATTATCTATCATTGTCTTTCATTATCTACCATCATCTATCATCGTCTATCACTATCTATCGTTATCTATTCATATCCTTAATATTGAAGCTTAATAACTTCATACTCTCAATTTTGGTCGGTTAATCACTTGAACCAAACCATCCTTCACCAACCAAAAAATCCCCTATACTTATGTTCACCAAACCAAAGCTTATTCTTATTGTTTTTAAAACTTGAAAAAAAGCGCGAAAAATGCAAAAAAAATGCAAAAACCAAAAAGCAAATCAGCAAAATCCAAAAAACACAAAAGCGAAATAAAAGGGAAAAAAAGGAAACAAAAAGGAAAGACAAAAAGGGGGAAAAATGGGAAAAAAAAATGGACTTGTCCATTTGCATTTTTGTTGCTTTTTTTTTGCTTTTTCGATTTGCTTTTTTTTTGCTTTTTTTGTTTTTTCCCAGGCAAAAAGCAAAAAAAAAAAGCAAAAAAAAAGCAAATCGAAAAAACAAAAAAAAGCAACACAAATGCAAATGGACAAGTCCATTTTTTTCCCACTTTTCCCCCTTTTTGACGTTCCTTTTTTTCACCATTTATTTTGCTTCCTGTTTTTTTCGGTTTTGAAGTTTTGCTTTTTGATGTTCCATGTGTTTTCCTTTTTTTTTGCTTTTTTTCAAGTTTAAAAAACATTAGAGTAAGCTATAGAGGTGGACAAACCCTATACCCTATACCGCCTTAACATCATCACCACCGTGAAAACTACCTCTATCCCGTCCCATTATACCTAAATTTTACCCAACCAACAGTTAATGGCTGAGCCAACAAACATCATAATCTACATAGTCTATCATTCAGGTCCAATCTCCTGAGTTTTGAAGTTTCAGATTCCAAATCTGTTGTTTGTTGTTTCTGTTACCTAGCAGACCTAGCAAACCTCCAGTTTGCCGTGACCAATCTTAAATACCCTGTTTTTTTTTGCTGGGCACAGTAAATTATACATAATCACACGTATTCCCATTCACATCGAAAAAAACACAAAAAAGTACCCACAAAAACTCTCCAAGTCAAACACCCAGCAGCAGGATCCGGAATGTTATGATGTTCCTCAAAGTCATGTGCCAAATTGGCCCTGATCATCGTCTCCACGCTGTCGTTTAAGGTGCTGCCGTTGCCATCACTGAGGTCCAAGCCCGGCAACGTGGCTGTCGCCGAGGCCAGCACGCTGTGCAGCTCTGATTTCACAGAAAGTAACCTGACGCGGAGAAAATTATGGAAGATCGGCATTGAAGTCACCAAAAATGCAGAGATCTATTGGATTGTTGGAAAAATATGGTGGTACAAAACACTTCGGAATCATCAGCAACGGCAAATCGGTGAGCTAGCAGATACATATGGTAAGTTTTCTGATAAGTTTGTGAAACTACGACCCGAATTGGCATCAACTATCGGAAAGGCAGTAGAAAAAATATTTCTAAGCAATCATCATAATGATGGATAAACGAACATGTTTGAAACCATCAAAAAATGTATGCTTTACTTGGACCCAAAAAAATGTTTGTCAGGTGGGGTCGTCGAATTTCGAGAGGACGAACAAAAAAAATGTGTCCACCGAGTGACGATGGGCTCTGCGCTGCATGTGCACATGAGTCACCCTCACATGATGCCTGGCCACGCCAAATGGGGCCTTCAACTGATCAAATGCTTGACAAAGTGATTTTACCGCTGTGTGTATCAACTGTGTATATGTCTACTTGTATGGAGATAGCCATGCGTTGACTGATTAACTTGATTTCGCCATTGATATACAGTATTTGTTTATTTACGTGCCATCGATCTATGTATCTAACTTGAGGCCGGGGGTGGATGACGAAAGCTAGCGGGGTAGGAGAAAGAAGGAAGGGAAGAGGTGAGTTGCGGAGGGACTGTCATCATCGTGTCGCGGCATTGTTCCTCCCAACGAGGATGCAACAATGATATATTGATATATGATATATAACAATGATATATATGGGGGAGGGGGCAGGGGGGGGCCCTTTCGCGTGAAAAATCACGTGATGTCCTTGAGCAGCCCCCCCAATACTTGCTAAAGCAAGAAGACTCCAGCTAGCTGACGCTAGCTTTCGTGATTAATATCTATCCATCCATCCATCTATTTATCTATCTATCTCTCCGTCCGTCCGTCTGTCTGTCTATCACTCTATATCAGTTTATCAGTCTATCATGCATGTACCCACTCCAATATGTACATACCTTTTTGCGTTGGATTCTGTATATTTTCCCATTTTCATCAACTACCCATTTCAACCATGATATCATCCCCCTCTGCCTGCACCGCGATCGTACACGAAAGCAAAGGTACCAGCCATGACACCAATGGCAACACTGACGCCATGTTCGGAAGCGGTAACCGTTAGGAAGAAAAGTTGCGAGCAAAGCTGGCAGCCAAATGGGCTACATACAGATGTGGAACTCTGCTTCTTGCCAGGTTTCAATAATCGGAAGTGGGGAATGTTTACATTGAACAACCCAAGCGTACATGGAACATGTCTTTTTCTTTGTTTGGTCAAACAGATCGCCAAATGTCAAGGTCTGAAGACTGCTTGGAAGAGTCACTCCTTCCAGGCTTTGGTTAAACCCTTTGCCAAATGTCAAGTGTTCAATGGTTTCGGGGAGATGGCGCAAATATTGGGTGGTTGTTGCGCCTGCTATCCGCGTCACTCCCTGCAATGCAAGCTCTTTCTGAGAGACTGGCAGACTTTTGACAGAACACCACGCAGCATAGAGATCTGTTGCAACAAAAGTGCACGAGAGTGTCGCTGCCTTGCCGATGATGCCTTGCACCTGCAATTCTTTGTGCAGTATCAGGGGTGAGTCAAGGTGATGCAGGGTGAGTTGTCCGCCTTTTTTCTGTGGAAGTTGTGTTGAAACCAAAAGGTATACTTCCCAACCAGTACAGGAACCACTGAGCTTCAACACACATCCTTCACCATTCAGGCGTTGCACAGAAAGGTCGATGAAATCTGAGCCATGATTTGGCCCTACATAACCGCCAGCATCACTCGTTGACATCGACGTGTTCTTGTTCAGGGCCACCAGGCTTTGCCGGCTGCACCGTCGTCGAGGTGGAATTTGAAACTGTCTGGAGGTTTCCATCTCAAAAATGAGATGGAGATTGGTCAATATCTCTTACTTTTTTTTTCTTCACGTGAATAGGCCCATCAAGGTGAAAATACTGTGAGGGTATCAGGTGAACGACCCACAGCCGCATGCGTGGATGTACGTTGATTTTCTGCAGGGATGACTTGCAGCTGGGGGGCCCAGATCGCCGAAATCGGAAACGATGGGGCGAAGGTCCATGTGCTACGAAGCCTGCAAAGTCTTGAGGGTACAACGCGTGTTTTGCCCAGGTTTGCCCTCAAGCTCCAAGAAACGTGGAACCCCACAAAATCAGATGGAATATGTTGGTAATTGTTGGTATATATTCGGGTAGAATGGAAGTCGGGAATTTCTCAGGAAAGACAAAGAATTATATCAAAGTTGGCTGGAAACTTGGGAAGGATAACCTTCTGGCCTTCTGGACCATGAAGTTGGGATTTTCGATGTGTTTTTGCTACTTGGCGGCTCCAGTTATATCGTAAGAGCAGTAACTTCTAACCCCAGTTCTTGTGGGATAAGGGCGGTGTCCGGTTCATAATCCTCCTTAACAATTATATCCCCAAACCTCACATTCACCAAGGCAGGCCTGGCCTGCAGTCCATAGGTCAATCGCCACAGCAGCCCCATGAGAGGGTCCATTCAGTGTTCATTGAAATCATGCTCTCTTTGAAGGTCTACCTAGATAGATAGATAGATAGCTAGATAGCTAGATAGCTAGATAGCTAGATAGCTAGATAGCTAGATAGCTAGATAGCTAGATAGCTAGATAGCTAGATAGCTAGATAGCTAGATATATAGATAGAAAGACAGATAGATAGATAGCTACATAGATAGCTAGCTAGATAGCTAGATAGCTAGATAGCTAGAGATAGATAGATGGATGGATATAGATAGATTCATAGATGGATGGATGGATGGATGGATAGATGGATGGATAGATAGATTCATAGATGGATGGATGGATGGATGGATAGATGGATGGATGGATAGGATCGATAGGATCGATAGGATCGATAGGATCGATAGGATCGATAGGATCGATAGGATCGATAGGATCGATAGGGTCGATAGGATCGATAGGATCGATAGGATAGATAGACTAGATAGACTAGATAGACTAGGTAGCCTAGATAGATTAGATGGATAGGATGGACAGGATGGATAGGATGGATAGGATAGATCGGATAGGTAGATAGGTAGATCGATAGATTAGATCGATAGATTAGATCGATAGATAGATTGATAGATTGATATATTGATAGATTGATAGATTGATAGATTGATTGATTGATTGATTTGCCACTATTTTAGCCTTGGATTTTACTACTTTTCTGCATCTTCTTGGGGGCTGCAAAAAAAGCCGGCAGAGCCACAACTGACACGGCTGGATCTGCGGGGCTTCGAAGAGTAGACCAGTGGAATTGGAGGTGCCGTGTCTCCACTGTGTCGCCCAAAAATATTCGGACATGTTGAAGGGGTGTTATCATGTGTTTGTCCTGTCAAAACTTGTACCACAAAATTCTGCTAATGAATGGTACGAAATAAGCAATGAGCAAAGATGGACAAAAGTGCATGAATTATCACCTTCAGCCCTTTCGACAAGTTTGACAAATACTGATGTGGCATAGCCTATGGCCACTAAGACTGGCACAGCAGCATTTCAAATGGAGTCTTGGCCCGGTCCCGAATCAAAACGGGATGGCGATGTTTTTTTCTGGAAATGGGGGGTTTCAAAAAAATTGGAGGATCACCAAAATAGTTGGTTAGTTGATGGAAAATCCGAAAATAAAATGGATGATTTAGGGTACCCCACTTTCAGGAAACCTCCAAATCTATGTGTCCCAAACATGTTGAGCAAAACAACCGCCAAAATAGTTTCACCATTACAGCAGCCCACCTGGGTCACCTGGACCCTTTCTCCCACTCTTCGCGAGGATCTTCAACACGTCAACAGTCAGGTGAGATGCGGAGGGCTGTCACTCCAATTTCTTTTGATATCTGATCAGCTCCTGCGGCGCGGTTCTTGGTCCAGGACCGTCCGGCGGATTTTTCCCATATCGGCGGTTTAACGTAGCGAACTGGAAATCTCACACGTTTCAAAAGACAAATCATCATGTTTATCATGTATAAACGGAGGTAGCAAACTGTTGGTCATAACCAAAGGGATGATCTACAACCATTCCAATAAAGTTGGTAGACACCATCTATGCCCTGCACGCCTTGTTGAGCTCATCTTTCCACTTCATGATCTGTTCGACGTCTGCTTTTGTCAACGTTATCCTCAAAAGCCGCATCCAAAGCAAATGACTGGCTGGCACGTGAACAAAAAACTGAACAAACACTTGTTCAACAATTCCATCGCTAATATCATATCACATCTACTATTATATATATATATGTACATATTACACAGCTACAAAAATTGTAAGATGTGTATATGCGTCTTGCACATATATGTGTATATATTATATAATTCTCTCTCGTTGAAGGGTGATTGAGAATTTTCAAACTGTTCCATTTTCTTCAAGTTGAGGATGTCATCTTTTCACTTCCTACAACCAGTCTGATGTTCCCAACAAAGAAATGGAATCAAATCCGCTGCTCAGCTTAAATATTCCTCTAAAACTGCCCATGTCCATTCCCAAATTGAAAAAAAAAACAAAAACGCTTCGCATCGGGAAATCCACTTCCCAACCCTTGTGTTCCATTGTGTTCCTGTGTTTTCCAAACTCCATCTCTCATTTTCGGCACCTTTTTCAATACCCGTAGCAAAATGGTCTTGTTGCTGCAAACATTCCCATCAAAGCGAACTCCCCGAATCTCTGCCAAAAATGACCCAGGCACCACTTGTTTCCCTCGGAGTCCAAAATCGTCAGCTTGGGCACTCGCTTCCGCCCATCCTTCGATCGCAGATTCGACACGTAGATCTTGCGGCCTCGCCATGGCCGGACATGGGTGGGACAGCAGGGTAATGGGATAATCATGGGAATTTCGTGTGTGTGTGTGTAAATCTATCTATCTATCAATCAATCCAATCCAATCTAATCCAATCCAATCTGATCTAATCTAATCTAATCCAATATAATCTAATCTAATCCAATCTAATCCAATCCAATCTAATCCAATCCAATCTAATCAATCCAATCCAATCTAATCTACTCTAATCCAATCCAATCCATTCCAATCTCAATCTATCAATCTATCAGTCTATCAATCTACCTACCTACCTATCTATCCATCTATCTATCCATCCTCCCGTGTCATCAAACGTGGCCAAAAAAACAACTATTGAAGGAAATTCCAGAAATCGCCACGTTTGATGGTCAGGGCTGTGGGGATGACTGGGTGCGTCGAGTAGAGGGGTTTTCCATCATATCACTGATTCGTTTCTCTCTATCTCTCTGTCTGTCTCTCTCTCTCTCTTTCTATATACACAAATATATATATATATACATATATATATATATATTTATTTATATTTATGAATATATATTTATGAATATATATATATATATTTATTTATATGTATGTATATATCTATATATATGTGTGTATATATATATATGTGTATGTATGTAATGTAATGTAATGTAATGTAATGTAATGCAATGTAATGTAATGTAATGTAATGTATGTATGTATGCATGTATGTATGTATGGTCATTTATATTTAAAAATATATATCTATATACTGATTTTTCTTTATATTCTGCAAATATATATATATATACAGCCCTGCAGCGGTTTATCTGGTTGTCCGGACTGTGTGGATCGACTGGGTGCCTCAAAATGTGGGAGATACCCAAAAAATGACTACTGATAGATGGAACATATCTGAAAATATTTGAACATATGAGGATTCAATACTGTCCTTTTGGTTAAAATCCAGGGGCCCGTTTTTATTGTACCAGTAGTACCGCACAAGGCGGTGGCGGAAATTTCAAAAATAGGAACCTATAGGAGAGGTTGGTTGTTGTGACTCATGGATGGCAGAGCGAATCCACTGATGGACCGACAGGTGGTTGGAGTTGTTTTTTTTGAAATGGTTGCAATGGTTGCAGTGGTCACCTTACCACAACTGCTGGATGTAGTGTGGTGTAGCGCAACTGTAGTTGCAGCTGTAGCTGTAGTTGTATGGAGTTGTAGTTGTAAGTTGTAGTTCTATTGTGATGTAATTAGTGTAGTGTAGCTGCAGTTGAAGTTGCAGTTGTAGTTGTGGTGTGGTGAAATTAGTGTAGTATATTGTAGTGTATTGTAGTGTACTGTAGTGTTGTGTACTGTAGTGTGGTATAGTGTAGTGTAGCCTAGTGTAGTGTAGTGTAAAGTAGTGTCGTTGTAGTTGTAGTGTACTGTAATTAGTGTAGTGTAGCGTAGTGCACTGTAGTGGTACTTGTAATTGCAGTTGCAGTTGTAGACGTAGTGTAATGTAATGTAATTAGTAATTAGTGTGGTATAGTGTTGTGTAGTGTTGCGTAATGTAGTGTAGTAGCTGCAGTTGCATGTATATTTGTAGTTGCAGTGTGCTGCAGTGTAATTAGCGTAGTGCAGTGTAATGTAGTGTAGTCGGTGTAGTTGTAATTGTAGTTGTAGATTTGGTAGTGGTGGTGGTGGTGGTGGCAGTAGTAGTAGTAGCAGTAGCAGCAGCAGCAGTAGCAGCAGCAGCAGCAGTAGTAGTAGTAGCAGTACTAGCAGCAGTAGCAGTAGCACTAGCAGTAGCAGTAGCAGTAGTAGTTGCTGTAGTAGTAGTAGTGGTGGTAGTAGTAGTAGTAGTACTAGTACTAGTACTAGTACTAGTAGTAGTACTAGTACTGGTAGTAGTACGAGTGGTAGTAGTACTACTGGTAGTAGTACTACTGGTAGTAGTACTACTGGTAGTAGTACTACTGGTAGTAGTACTACTGGTAGTAGTACTAGTGGTAGTAGTAGTGGTAGTAGTAGTAGTAGAAGTAGTAGTAGTAGCAGTAGCAGTAGCAGTAGCAGTAGCAGTAGTAGTTAGTATTTAGTATTTAGTAGTTAGTAGTTAGTAGTTAGTAGTTAGTAGTTAGTAGTTAGTAGGTAGTAGTTAGTAGTTACTAGTTAGTAGTTACTAGTTAGTAGTTACTAGTTAGTAGGTAGTAGGTAGTAGTTAGTAGGTAGTAGTTAGTAGGTAGTAGTTAGTAGGTAGTAGGTAGTAGGTAGTGGTAGTGGTGGTAGTAGTAGTAGTAGTAGTAGTGGTAGTAGCAGTAGCAGCAGCAGTAATTGTTGTTATTGTTGTTGTTGTTGTAGTTGTAGCTGTTGTAGTTGTAGTTGTAGTTGTAGTTGTAGTTGTAGTTGTAGTTGTAGTCGTAGTTGTAGTTGTAGTTGTCTGTCTATCTATATCTATATCCATATCTATATCATTCTATATCTATCTGTCTATCTGTCTATCTGTCTATCTGTCTATCTGTCCATCTGTCTATCTGTCTATTGTCTATTTGTCTATCTGTCTATCTATCTATCTATCTGTCTATCTGTCTATGTACCTATCTGTCTTTCTGCAAGCTTCAAAACGCAGCTATTTGGGGAGACTTCCTCAATTTTTGAACTTGACAACGTCAAAAACGAAACCATTCTGCGAGACTGCCTCAGTTTTAAAACTTGACAACATCAAAAACGCAGCAATTCAGTGAGACTTCCTCAATTTTTGCACTTGGCAACATGAAAAACAAAGCAATTCTGCGAGACGTCCTTCAAAATGGAAAGTTGGGTGCAGAGCTGATGGCCTCGTACCAACGCGTTTTGCGATTTTTCCAGTCCATCTGTCTAAACTACTGCGCCTGCCACGAACAAGTGATGCCAGGTCATACGAAGTGCTGCACCTGTCGCGCAAAATCATCTCACCAAACCTCAAGATCGGAGGCTCCAAAATGCAACCCCTCTCAGGAAATCAGCGCCCGGACCTCCTAACAGCTCTGATGAACATGTCTCTTGTACTGCCCCTGCCGCGGAAAATGCATCTTTCCAGATCCTCTTCAAATGTCCCACGCATGCCATCGCTTTTGGAAATGCTACAAAACCCTCACGTTTTGCTCACTTTTGAGAAGGTCCACAATGCCTAGATAGAGATAGAGATAGAGATAGAGATAGAGAGATAGATAGATAGATAGATAGGTAGATAGGTAGATAGGTAGATAGGTAGATAGGTAGATAGGTAGATAGGTAGATAGGTAGATAGGTAGATAGGTAGATAGGTAGATAGGTAGATAGATAGATAGATAGATAGATAGGTCGGTCGGTAGGTAGGTAGGTAGGTAGTCAGAGAAAGAGAAAGAAAGAGAGAGAAAGAGAGGAGACCTCAACCACCTGTCGGTCCATCAGTGGCTTCGCTCTGCCATCCGTGACTCACAACAACCAACCTCTCGCGCGGTACTAGTGGTAAAATTTATACGTGGCTATGGCCTAAAAGCACCTGCTAACACTTACGATTCATGGAAAAATCCTCCAACGAAAACCGGGTCCAAGGCTCCTATGGGCGGTCCCAAGGACAGCTCCTTGCTTCGGTGCTGGTCATATTTGGCGCGGCTCGCTGAAATCGCCGCGTCGCGGTGGTCCAGGTCCTCTTGACTGCAACCAAAGAAGTCCCTGGCGCACCGAGGGATCGTTCAGTGGGAAAATCTGAGATTAGCCCATGTTAGTGTGAAAATAATTCATTGAATATCAATAAAATTGGAAAAAGCCCCATGAATTTAGTGAATTCAGTGGTTTTTAAAATATCTTTGGGAGAAATCAACGAACATCGACAGGAAAACCAAATGAATTTAGGGACTGGAACGCCGAATGGGATGGAACGGCATCTGAGCTACCACCGAAAACCACTCATCGCAAGGCCTACAGATAGAAACCTTGGAAACCTCGAAATACTCATGAAGTACCAGAAAGTACTCATGAAGTACCATGAAGTACCCATCATCTAAAACCTTCTCGATTTCGACTGTTCTATTCTTTTTTGGAGACCCAACTCTCAACCTGAAATCAGATCCTAAACATCCGGTTCAACGTTCAAGATTTGACCTGTTTGACTTGTCTCCCTTGCCACTCCATGACCCCAACGTTGGCGAAAAAAGGTGCGTTGATCTTCTGAGCATTTTACTAGTTAAAACAATGTTAAAACATGTTAAAACACTGTCCAGCATACCCCAACAGCTGCTTCCTTTTTATGTCCGACTCATCAAGAAATGCAAAAAAAGGGGGATTGGTCCCATCCGGTAAAGTTGGCTTGAGGTGTGTCAGCTTGAAATGCGGTCAAGATCCGCCATGGATAAAATGATGAACCATGAAATAGCATTAAATTTAAATAATCCATGCGCATATATCAACCATACACTCTGATAAACTAACATAACTATGGAAAATCACCATTTTTAAGAACGGTAAATCAACGAACTTTCTATGGCCATTTTCAATAGCTAGCTCGGTCACAAATTGCCAGGTTATTTAACATAGCCATGGAAAATCACCATTTTGAATAGGTGAACCATCTATTTCTATGGGCCATTTTCCATGGCTATGGTAAATCACCAGAGGGTAACTACTATGAATGAATCAGTCATTTTCTCAAAAACGCTGGACGAACTCCTGCAGCCACCGGAGAATCACCCGCTTTTCGACGGCCTTGGGTTCTCGACGGCGATTCTTCTCACCTGGCTGCACTGGAGAAAAATAATCATCCCAGCTTCAACATTCGAAAAACGTCACCACCCACGTTAATGGTTATAGGAATGAATAGTAATGGTTAGTAATGAGTAATGGTTATATCATGCTAATAGTCATCTGGTTGGTGGTGACTTAACCATCTTGAAACATATGAGTTCGTCAATGGGAAGGATGACATCCGAAATATATGAAATGGAAAATAAAAAATGTTCCAAACCACCAACCAGATTATATATGGATTGATGGTTGATGGTTGAAATCCCATATAAAAATGCTAGGAGATAGAGGAAACTGCTTTACTAACATTAATGATTAATGATTCGGGGTAAATTGTCATATTTCACTCATCTAAAATGTTGGTCTGTTTTGGGATAGTTACCCTGAATCCCAACCATGATTCAGATGACTACAGTGAGTTCCTGTTATCTCAAAATTATTATCAGCATAAATGATTATCAATCTGGGGTTCTTTATCATCATAAATGATTTATGATTTATGCTTCAATAATCATGATCCCAAACTAATAATGGAGATTGGCAATCGTTTATGATGATACACATAGAACTGTGTTGTTCCCTAAACTCTTGAGATTGATTATCAGTTATGATCATTTTTGGTATGGTTAAAAAATGATCAAGTGGGTCCATTGGCAACCCCATAGCCATTTTGAGGCTGAGAAGTAGCAGGGAGCCCCAAAAGAACAGTAGTTCAAAAGACATCCTTGAGGTTTTCATGTTGAATTCGGGGGGCTGTGCAATTCATGATTCATGGTTGCTTGCTTAGGTGAGTAATTGATTGGTTTTCTGACTATCGACAAAATGTTTGAATTCATCAGCATGGTGAGGATAAGGCCATGAAATCCCATGACATCACCATTTTCCATCGTTAACTCCCATGCAATCACCATCTTCGCTGCGGCTCCCCTGCCAGTGCCAGGCCACGTGCACGCAGCGCACGGCTAAGGAGGTGGCCAGGGGCCGGACGCCGGTCCCAAGCGCGGTCAGCGCTGTCAGCGGAGCCATGGCGAGCAGTGGAAAAAAAGGGAATTTAAAGCAGAAAAAAAACTATGGAGATATTTGATGATATTTACACGTAGAAATCATATATATATATAAACATATTAGTTAAACGCATGTATGTATATATATATATAAGGTTACTAACGAGGTACTAAGTGGGGTGAATGCAGGATTTCTTCCATCCACAGTTTAGTGGGATATATATTTATATCAACTCAATAGGATTCGATGGGGGATGTCCCCAAGCAATTGGGGATAGAATGGGATTTTATGGGATATTTGTTGAGATAATATCCTGGGAAAATCATAAGGATGTCATTAAATATGACTAAGTTTCTTAACAATGTGAAGACAATAAGAAAAAGACACGAATGATGATCATGCAAGGAAGTGCCTGGCATGTATATAACTTGCTTCTCATAAAGCCCATGAACTAGTTCGTTGATGTTCGTTGTATCTGCCATGATCCCAAAGGTTAACCTTAAGTTTTTTTTCTCAAAAAAACGCTATCCTTTTCAGGAGACCACCTGGTCTCAGGGGATACAGTAGGGTTAACCAATGATACAGTAGGATCGGCAATATGATGATCGAATAGGAATGTTAGCATCTGGTTGTGACTAACATAGCCATGGAAAATCACCATTTTTAATAGGTAAACCCAGGTAAACCATCTATAAATGGGCTATTTTCCATGGCTATGTTAAATAACCAGAGGGTAGCCAACAAGATCATGGGGATATTGGGTCTGATCATGGATAAACGAGATGGGACTGCCAACGATCTTTAAGAAATGACACGCCTGTTGTCCTTGAACGACTTACACAGCTCGTCAAAGATTTTAGCAGGTTACACCAGTAGACTTGCAGACCTTGGTCAACGGTTGATCATCGGTTGATCTGAAAAACACTGGCCAATCAGAGCCACATGGCTGTGGGAAAAAAAAACAATGGCTTTTCACAATCACTTAGTGCTCATGGATGTTCATCCCATATGTTCCATATATTTTCCAGAATGGCTTTGTCTGAAAATGGGCTAGCCGCTAGCCCATTCCACTTCATCATCATGTTTCCCATTAGATGGCTATTTGGCTATTTGGTGCAGGCCATCTATCATTTTCAGAACCAGGTGCCAGTCGGTGTCGGTTACGCCTTGCAGCACATCATCCATGTCTTTTCCCAAAAAAAAGGAATCGCACTTAGTATAGCCCCAAAAACATGGCTTTTATTATCCTCCAGTATACACTAACACATAGAGATGTAAAATGCAGGCTTTCCAAAGGAACCTTTTTTTCCGCGGGCGGCAAGTGAGACAGCCTCTGGAGTCCTGCCGTCAAGGTAGCAGCGAGTTTCAGGCTTGGTTTGGCCCCAGATACCCCCTGGGGTTTCGGAAAAGAAGGGTAGACATGGCTAGACATGGCTAGATAAAGATGGAAAATGAATGAAAATGATGACCTTAACTTTCCCAAATGTCCCGCGTGGAAATGGGGGCACTGGTTGGCAACCCTTGGGACTGGTTGGAAAAACCAAAAACCCTCGACATGTGCAGGTCGACCTGCCGAACTTCAGAAAGGGACCTGTACAAACTTCCCCGTGCGTGCCCTTGCCCTCATATGCCCTCATGATGGCCTTCAACTGTAGACCCAAGAAAAACTCCACAACCAAAGCACAACTGGTTGTTGTTTATCTTGGTGATGCCATTGGTGATGCACATCGTCAAAGTACTTACTTACTGAGGCGCTGTTTTCGTATGAGGAGTTTCTCCCCGATGATTCCGTGTCCGGGCTTCACAGTGGCCATCCCGAGCTCTGCTTACGCTTCGTTGCTTCGTTACGTGAATTCATCGGAGTGTCTGAAAATGGAGATAGAAATTGTTCAACTGTCAACTGATGGAAAAAAAAATATGATGGAAATAAGAAAATGGAGATATAAAATGACAATTTAATGATGGAAAAAAATATGTTCAACTGTCAACCATCAAATTGTGAGGCACCTTGACATTAGGATAGGCCCGATTATAAATGAAAGACGCTTGAAGTCACAAAACTTCAAGTTCACCTTCTTCTGTGTCCTCACACTTTTGTCTGTGTCCTCGTGCTTGCTCTGGTTGTTTCATGTTCTGAGCCAGCTTAATCCATGCCCCTCCCTTAAAGGAGTCGGCGGCACCAAGGCGTTAGCCCTTTTATTAAACATAGCTGTGGAAAATGGCCCGTTTAGCTTCATGATTTGCCTATATATTGACAGTAATTAGCGAATTTCCAGTTCGCAAACTGTTAAATTACCAGGGACCTGGTGAAATACCTCTTGACTGCCATCTGCTACTCCTGGCACCACATAGGAAAGGCTGCCGAATAGTTGACGTTCCCTGTCCTGCGAAATTGCATGACTTGGATGGATAATTTTCCGGCCTGAGCATCTGGGGAAATTTTAATGATTTTTATAACAAGAGTAAACGACTCCTTCTGGTAGTCTAAACTGGCAATGACAAAGTTGTATAATTACAATGAAGGTAGATGGATTGTAAATGGGCTCACGCCCACAAATTTGTGGCCAAACAAAACAAAATAACTGCAAAATGCCCCCACACTAATGGCTAAATGCCAACATCGGGAGCAAAACAACTGCACACAGGCCGCAGAAAAAGAAACAAGAATGGCTATGCTATACAACCAAGTTCCCAGTTTCGGTTTTAGTCAACCCTTTTCCTGATACTAATAACACAAAGCGGGATGACTATGTCGACTATGTGGTATCCATGCTTGACAAACACAGTTGTTAGGAGGGCACCTGCAGTTGGCGTTGCGGCGCACCAACTCTGGTGTCACAGATGAAATGAGATTATCAGCATTGTTAACCATGAAATACCATGAATCTAAGTGTTTCTTGAGGAGTGCTCCCAGCATGCGTAAGAAGAACCAAAATACCTCTTGTGAGTCGCTTCAGCGGTGGCCAAAACCTTTTGCAGAAGTGCCTTGAGTTAGGTGTTTGAGAGATGTTCATCATTCGTCAGGAATATTTAAATTCCTGCAAAAAACGTTTGTACAACCCACAGTGTTTGGGATCTTCCTCACATTGTACCCTCCGGCAGTCAAACATGACAGTGAACAATCCCCCATTTAGTTCAAATTTTACCATTGCCAGACCTCCATTCATTCCAGGGATTTCCCATTGCCAGCCATGACGACACCGAAGGGCGTTTTCGAACCAACTCTTGATAAATCAATTACAATCGCATGGATTGTGAATAAATTGAGTATAATACCCAACTATCCTATTCGAATGGTAACTGTTTGATTCCGGAAACATCGTTTAGTCTGAAAAAATAGGCTATCCCCACTGCCAAAATCTGATTCGAACATCATGTTCCCAAATGTTCGGCCATCCTAAAGGGAGGTTTACTAATGTGGGTGAAACAACAAACCAATGTCATAACCATCCATGACTGCGAATGGTAACCATACCACCTATTTTTAGTGATTTGGATTGATTTGAGGGATGGTTTATGGCATTGTTTTACCCACAACAAAACCATGAAATTCACCATGATTAGAACATGATTTTCTCATATGTTCTCCATGTTTAGCCATCCTATAGGGAGGTTTACAAACCATAAAACACCATAAAACACCATAAAACATCAGCATTTCCAGATCTCCTGCAAGCCCCGTTGTTCTGCTTCCCCTAAGGCCATGGAGAGAGCAGAGATATCCGCGGAAAGGCGCTGACCATGCATGCCCTGGCAGCTGGCAACTGGATCCCTTTGGAAAATGGGGAATCTCATGCCAGCCAAAATGGAAGATGATGGAATAATGATGGAAGATGATAGAATGATCATGGAATAATGATGGAAAATTGGTGGAAATGATGGAATAGTCATGGAGTAATGATGGACTAATGATTGAAAATGATGGACTAATGATGGAATGATGATGGGAAATGATGGAATAATGATGGAATAATGATGGACTAATGATGGAAAATGAATCTATGAGAAAATGATGGGAAATCATGGAATAAAAGATGGGAATAATGATGGAAAATGAGAAGATGTTAGTAAAAGATGAAGGAAACTATTGAAACTAGTTTTGCCTAGCTATGCCTAACTCGCAATCAAATGATAAGTATTGACAAGTGATGACAGGTGACTCATTAGAGCACCCCCAACTCCCCACAATAGACCCGCGGCAGGCAAGAAATTTGATGGTTGGATACTAGGAAGAATTGGGGTCTGTTCTTCAAATGAACAAATAATGTCTGGGTGCCATTAGAAGACCCCTCCCAATTAAGTACGCCAAATCCCGGAAAAAATAATAACCCACCCCCCCGTAATAAAGTACGCCAGCCGATTTTTAAGTTTTTTTTTCCGTTTTTACCCTGTTTTGTGTGTTTCGTGTTTTTTTCTGTTTTTTTCGGTTTTCCTCGTTTTTTGGGAAGCCCTGAAGCCACTAACATCTAAATAATGATGAATGATATCACCCCCTAAATCAAGTATTTGGATTTCAAGGATCCAAAATTTAGAGTTGAATTCATGTCCCAATTCCTTTCCTATTTGAATCCCCTTTCAGGAATCTCATCTACCCCATGGGCCCAATACTTGATTCAAAGGGCCCCCCAAACCAAGTATTCTGAGATACTTTTTTGTTTGGCAGTCAAGACCCTTCGAGCTGGAAGCTGGGACAACCTTTTCTGAAAAGTAGTGGAATTGAAAAAAATCAAAAAGGCTCAAATGGTCAATTTTCTTACTAAACCCATATTCAAAAATGCTCAAACTCAATCGCGCAAATGGGGGTAGTCTTGAAGCCCCCTAACATATAAATTAAAATGAATGTTTGCACCCAAATAAAGTATTTGGATTTCAAGAACCTAAATTTTCGTGGTTCAATTCATTTCGCAATTCCATTCCTATGCATGTGGGAATCTTATATATTCGTTTTCAATTTGGCAATTTGTTCTGCGCCACATAGGTCTGGAAAATGTTCCACAGGGACCCCCGGCCATCGTTTGGCCTAAACTTTATTTAGATGCTCTTAATGTTGGGGGGGTTGTTAATAGCACGTCAACATTACCCATTCAGGAAAGAACCATTCAAATATCTGAAGTGTGTTGGTGTTGGTGTTGGTGTTGGTGTTGGTGTTGGTGTTGGTGTTGGTGTTGGTGTTGGTGTTGGTGTTGTTGTTGTTGTTGTTGTTGTCGTCGTCAGAAACCTTGATTTTGTTATGGGTTCATCCCTTTTTGCTTTCCAATCCTTAAAGGACTGAGCCAAACCAGTGAAATTTGGGTGTCTCAAACATTGGATGCTCTATACTCTCAAGAATTACCAAAACCTAGCTAAAAATTATGAGTCAAAAGTGCTGTAGGTCATCTCCCCATTTGGATGGCTGCTACTAGGTAAGGGACCTGTCCCTGAATTCCAAGAAATCTGAAAGTTACAACAACAAATCCCGTGAGGACAAACCGTAATTCACCTGCGGCTTCCTCTTCATTCATTGCTTCCATCCAGCAGTGTTTTTAAAACCTCGTGTCGTTCCGTGAAAACACTCGCTGGGTGACAGCGATTCCCCATGGATTCTGATCATCCCCAAAACAGTTCTTAGATTTTCTTAGTATAAGCCCCGCACTAATCATCAACCATCATTTATCAGTGATATCATGTGATATCCCCATATATCCAATGTTTGCTGCTTCCAAAAAAAACTCAACCAACTGCTTGACCATGTGATGAGATCCGTCAAAAAATGCAATTACATGGGCTGGGGGATACCTCAGTTATTATTGCAATATGATATATGTAAGTGTAGATATATACAAATAACATACATAATGGTCATAATGAGATTATGTATTTATAATATATATATATATATACACTGTATGTACAGTATAATTCTCTGTGTGTGTGTTCTGCTATGTGTTATAGCTTCTAAAAATAGCTTCACTTACAACTTCACTTACAACTTCCCGCGTTTCCTGCGTTTCCTGCGTCCAGGGATAGACCATCGAGCCTCTAAAATGTTGAACATCTCTTGCCACTGCTTCCCAATGCCAAAAGCCACAGCTGCGGCGCTGAAGCCAAGGGCACCAAAACAGATGGCCTTCCTCGACGAACTGTGGCGCAAGGTGAACAAACCTCGAGAACGTCTATGCGAAATATTAAAAAAGGGCCATGCAACCCTGAGAAAATGGGGATGTCAAATGTGCCTTGGTCAAAACCTTGTATATATATATATGCTAACCCCCCCCCCCAGAACCGATTAAAACAACATTTCCACTGATATTTTTGTATAATGGGTTATTTCTTGATAATACACATTCCTATGAATGGATTGATGGCCATCCACCAATATGGCTATTAGCCGGCCATCTTTTGAACATGGCACACATCCTGCTATGAGTTGGAGGTTTTGAGATGGGGACTTCACTGCGATTAGGTAACATGGCAGTTGGAAATCTCTGCATTGAGGTTTTAATATGGGTATCCTAGTAGTGGAATTTAGTGGATGGGCAAAGTCCGAACCAGGATTCTTGCTTGCGAAAAATGGGATTTGTTTCCTCCGTGATCAGAAAACCTCATCACTTCCGCTTAAAATGTTCACATACAGATTGACGAGACTATGGGTTCCCTCACCAAATGATCTACCCATTGATGATGTGTTCTTCCTAATTATTAAACTACTGGTAGCTTACAATAGTTTACAAATCTATGCAAAATTACTGGGAGTGTACAACCATCTTTGTAGAAAACACCATTTCTGGGTGAACAGCTCTCATCCTCTGACGCTCTTTTGAAATCGAGAAGTGCTAAGATCATCCTATGGCTAGAAATTTCTTCAGACACCATCCGGGGAGAACATACCCAGAAATACCTCAGAAATGTCCGGTGTCTGAAGGAAGCCATGACTCTACAGTGGCTTTTGATGAATTTTTGATGATTTTTGTATCAAGGGATTTTTTCAATGTCATTTGGATGGTCTGGAATGAAATCAAAGCCCAGAAATGTTTCCAGGTTCCCATTTTTTTCCGGCAAATCGCTGCTCTTTTCAAAAGATACACTGGATCAATCTCTGCGACAGGAGACATTCCCTTTCAAAGGTACTCAACCTGTGGGTACCTCACGCACTGTTATTAACCTGTGAAAATTCTTTGCAAACCCACTCAACTAGTGGTATAATAGTTATACCACCATTTCAGTGCGTTCACAAAGCATTTTCGCGGGTCGAATGCCGACAATATACATATATATATATATATACATATATATATATACATATACACATATATATATATATATATACATATACACATATATATATATACATATACACATATATATATATATATACATATATATATATAATTATATATATATGTGTATGTATCCCCATGATTCTTCAAATGATGATTGCTGAAAGTTCTGTAAACACCATTTTTATAACTTTATCACATTGGTAATACCCCCATTAAATCCCATGAAATTGATGGCTAAACCCAGCTCCACTTCCACCTTTTTTCTCTGCACTCCAGTTCCTCCAGGTCCTACAGCCACGAATGCTGACCAACCCCGGCCTGCCTGCAGCCCCTTTGGTCGGCAGCACCTGCACCCTGCCCTTCTCCAGGACACGCACCGCGCTGCACTGACCGTTCCCACCGTGGCCAGCGTTGCGCCAGACGCCTCCAGATCCGTGGGCCGCTGTGCCACCTGCAACTTCTCCAGGAAAAAGCTGCCCTTCACCAAAGACCTTGGGATCAGCTCCCACAGCTTCCACAGCTCCTGCCGAAGAGTTCTGTATGCATCCGGAGCAGCCCAACTCCTTGCTACAAACGAGGTAAAAATCCGGTCTATGAAGACAGCTCCATCCCTGGCGTCCCGTGCAGGGCAGCCGAGTGAAGCTCTTGTTGACCTGTGGAATGTCAGAATGCCAGACACCAGGATTGATGGGTGAGATCTCCGGCGGAAGCCTCAAACTGGACCTGCTGCTCTGGCCATCCATGCCTGACATCGAAAAAAAACATCTCAACTATTCTCAACTGCAACCAAAAAAACATTTCAGCCATAGATTACGCGAAAAGAACCTTTCAATCCGCGCCAAAATCTTAAGAATCATCCGAACTTCATAAACACACATGGTTATCATGATTTTCCCATCACTTTCCCTTCATATTCTTCGGCCAAATCACCTTCAACAGAACCCCACCTGGAATCATTTCCAGTGAATTTCCCATGAATTTCCCACCTGGCACCAGATCCGCCTCTTTCGCCACGCTTCCGCCGCTCCCTCCGCGCCCGCCCGGCGCGAAGCGCAGCGCCCCGCGCGCCGAAGACCCGGCGGCACCGCCACCGGCGGCGGCCACGACGCGGTGGCCGTGGAGGAACCGCGTGGCGCCGCCGGAAAGGCCTGGGAGGCCTCCGGGGCCGATCCTGGTAGCACCGGATGGGAAGTGGTGAAGAAAAGCCATGTTACCCTCCGGTAAACATACAAAAAACGATGGAAAATCACCTTTTTGAATGGGTAAATCAATGAACTAAATGGCCATCTTATAATATTATACATGTCCTAAAGATAAGTGCTAGTATTTTTTTCTTTTTTTATAGTGCTAGACTGAAAACGGGGAGGGGAATATAGTGGTTATAAAGAAAAACCATGTTAAAAACTCCATGACAGTCCTATGATTGATTGACTTTACATGGTATTTTGGATAGTGATGATTGTTTGATAATGATTATGGTCAATTCTAAAATTTGTAATGCACGACTTTTTGGGATAGAGAGATGTGGATACATATTTCAAAAAAAAAAAGTAAAAGATAAGAACCTAAGGAATCAATGTATAGACCAGATGTGGTAAAACCTCAATAAAGTACAGTGATAAACTACACTGTTTTTTCTGTGTTGGGTGTTTTTGTATGGGATTTCATGGAATGTAACATTGGTAAGGATTCCATGGATCATATCCACGTCAATGTCTTAGAAGGTATTTACTTTGTCAAGCTTGGTTTTCAAACTACCAGTAGGCTGTTTAGATAATGATAGCATGAAAACATGGTGTGTCCAAAAAGAACATCCAGAGGACTAAAATCAATGGGCGATTTTGAAACCAAACCACAGAAGAGTACAGTATTGTTTTTGGGCAAATACAGGGGCTGTCCGCAAGTACAGTCAGTCTCTTGAACCAATTCCGGGACGGCCATTGAGTTACTTCCAATTGTACCCCCAGCCAGTGGTAGGCGTGAAAGTGTTTTTTCCCAGGTTGAGTACAAAAAAAAAAATAACATCCCAACATATCCATCAAGTTATTGTTGCGATGCCAAGTAATACATATTATATATATATAATTATATATACGTACATATGATGCAGCCCTCCCAGGTCCCCCCCCTCCCCCCCAAAGGGTATGGGTATATAGGTATAGGGCTAAGAGGCTATGTTCCCCGCCCCCCCGCCTGTGGGTGGGTGGGGGGGTGGGGGGTTGGGGGTGGGGGGGTTAGTAGTAGTTAGTAGTAGTTAGTAGTAGTTAGTAGTAGTTAGTAGTAGGTTGTAGTAGTTAGTAGCAGTTAGTAGTAGTTAGTTGTAGTTTGTAGTTGTTTGTAGTTGTTTGTTTGTTTGTTAGTTAGTTAGTTTGTTAGTTTGTTAGTTTGTTAGTTTGTCAGTTAGTTTGTTAGTTTGTTAGTTAGTTTGTTAGTTAGTTAGCTAGTTTGTTAGTTAGTTAGTTTGTTTGTTAGTTTGTTAGTTTGTTAGTTAGTTAGTTAGTTAGTTAGTTAGTAGTTTGCAGTAGTTCGCAGTAGTTAGTAGTAGTTAGTAGTAGTTAGTAGTAGTTAGTAGTAGTTACCCTCTGGTAATTTAACATAGCTATTGAAAATGGCCATTTATAGTGAGTTTTCCCATAAAAAATGGTGATTTTCCATAGTTATGTTAGTTTACCAGAGGGTAGTAGATAGTAGTAGTTAGTAGTAGTTAGTAATAGTTTGTAGCTAGTAGTAGTTAGTAGTTAGTATATAGTAGTTAGTAGTTAGTAGTAGTTAGTAGTTAGTAGTAGTTAGTAGTAGTTAGTAGTAGTTGTATACTGACCCATCCCATTGGGGGTGGAGGGGGGACCTCGTGGTCGGAAGACCGGATCATATATACCAATACCAATCAAACTCCATTACTGTAGTCGACATCCCCATTGTATCAACCAATTTTCACTTTCATGGATTTTCCGCGTTCGCTGAGGAATATGTTATAGTTGTATGAATTAGTAATAATATACTCGATCATATCATATCATATCCATCCATATCCGGAAATATCGAGTGATGTGGTTTTTCTATCCCATTAAAACATACAAAAACATGTTGTTACAATCAGGAAAAGTTGATATCTCACTTAATATAGCAAATTATACCAACAAATATTGATGAATGGTTGGTTGGTGCATTCACATCATCGCATTGCCCGAAGTAATATCCAAGAATATCCATTCCCATGTTGTGTTTCTTTCATTCTCCCAGAATTATCCCATGAAAAAACATAACTGGTTGGTGGTTTCAACCCCTCTGCAAAATATTTGTCAGTTGGGATGACTATTCCCAATACATGGAAAAACAAAAAATGTTCCAAACCACCAATCAGATAAAAATCATGGTGAAAAAATCTGATACGCCAAGGAACTCGATACGATACTTGTGTCCCTTCTCCAAGTGCCACGTCAGACTCACCGCCGCTGCCGCCCCGCCACCACCGCCGCAGATCCACACGTCGACGTCGCCAGCCAGATGGCTTGGGCCGCTGCCGCCACCGCCACCGCCCCAGAGTTCCAGGTAGATGACCTGGAAAGTTAGGGGAAAACATAGGGGAAGAGGCCCGAAACGATGGATTTTCAGGGTTTTTCAAAGTGCTACTCACAAAAGCGGGGTTTATGATTTTCAGGGTTTTTCGGGGATTGAACCAGAACAAAGCTATAGGATTTATGATTTATCGGTATGAGAACAATTCGGCAAATCGGAGGGCTCACCGGGTTGACTGGTCCAACTCATGCGTCTCCAAAGCCCAACCATTTATTTTCCCTACTAGAATCGACATCTCCAAAACAATCGATGATTTTCAAACAGACAGCACTTGGATCATCATTTACCAGAAATCCTATCCCATCAGCCTCACTTCGCTTGGCTGTCCATTCATAGGGACTTTGGCCCAGCTCAACCTCCAAAGGCAGATCCTCCAACGGCGCCGCCAAAGTCAGCTGGGTGCCGCAGCGAAAGGCACCGAAGTCGCGGGGAGCCAGGGCAGGGACGCTGATGCACTCGCGCTCCCAGGTGGACCTCGGTGCCCTTTTCAAAAGGCGAGTCAGGGACAAAATGCCAAGAAGCTTCCAGAAAAAGCAAGGGTTACCGTACCAAATGTTACCAAACAAGTTCCCTGTAGCTCTGGAGTCAAGGGCTTTAATGCCTTTGAAATCCCGTAGATTTTTTGGAAACCTAAGCCGTACGAGGTCCTCCCGAGAATGCGAGGTACTCATCTTCAAAGGACGATTTGCTGACTCCCCTGTCCACATCTTTGGCGAGACAGTTTGGGACATCCTTTCGATCGCAGGTCTGAAAATAGGTCCTCAAAGGCCCCCAGATAAAGGTCCCCGCCCAAAAAGGCACTGGAGCATGGATGAATTGGCTCCTATCAACTGAGATAGGGATTCAGTCAATAAATTCCATACGGTTTCCAACGTGTTGGGAGCAACGCTCAATTTTGGCTAGTGCCTGAGAATCAGCCTAAAGAAGATAGCTATGTCATGCTATGTCGATATGTTGAAGTTCTCCCGGTTGATTTGTGGCGTTTGGGTGGATAAAAACTCAACAGGAAATGACAAAAACCCCAGTGCCAGGTCGATGAAACCTGTTGCACCGGACCTGGCCTGTTGGTCAATGGAAGCCCCTAATAAACAAGCATCAACCTGTTTGGGTGAACTGGCATCTCAAACTAGGCCCAGAAACACCAGAAATGGCAGCTTGAGGAACCATAATCTGCTTGGTGGTTTCAATCCCTCTGAAAAATATGAGTCAGTTGGGATGATTATTCCCAATATATGAAAAAAATAAAGAATGTTCCAAACCACCAACCAGTAATAAATGTGATCGATTTGGCTGAATGATTGCAGGGTTCTTGGCGTCACCATTTTTGACAACCCTGAAAATCGGTGGTTCCCCTAGGTCTGAAAGTTTGGCGCTTCCCTGGCTCTGGGTCCCGTACCCCTGTAGTTCACACCTCAAACAGCTTGCCGAGTAGTCTTGGTTAGGTGCCAACCACTACCCAAACTCAGTTTGGGGGGCAGTTGTTGATAGGGATTCCCAGTTCTGATGATCTAAACCCATCAGCCACTGCAGAAAAACGTAGCATAAGCCGCTACCACAAAGCCAACTGGGTCAACTGGCCATTGCTCATTCTTTTTTAACTCTAGTCCTCATTAAAAATTATGGTGTTTCCCCAAAAAAACGTCCAATCAGCTGTCCTGTATCGATCCTCTCCCTGTTTTATCGCACTTTCCTCCACCCCTTCAACTTTCTCAGTCTTGTGCCGCATTTCCAGCTCCTGCATTCGGTGGCTGAATGTATGCAGTCTAATACAGGCAATGTCGAGCAATAAAAAATAAAAGCAAATCAACCCGCAACAAATCTGGACACAACAGAATTATATAGTCAGCAATGAGCACAACAAACAGCTATGCCATGAGTTGATTTAAGGATCTTTTAGTAGGAAGCCCAAAGGCTTAAAAGCCATTGAAGAACTCAGGGGCTGTTGCAGGATTAGATTCCAACAAAAATTAATATAGGGATGACGACTATTTCCCAGGTATGATATATGACTTGCTGACTGGGATGATACTTGGGTCTCAGTGCTTGGCACACGCGATCCATCGAGAGCCTTCCCTTGGAAGAGCTACTTTTCAAGTCAGGACTGCTACAGCAGCTACTCACGCACTACTCACAAAGACCAGACCATTGCTAAAACGTTCAAGACTGCTTGGCAGGGTCACTCCTTCCAGGCGCTGGTCAGACAGATCGCCAAATGTCAGGGTCTGAAGACTGCTTGGCAGAGTCACTCCTTCCAGGCTCTGGTTAAACGCATCCCCAAATGTCAAGGTCTGAAGACTGCTTGGCAGAGTCACTCCTTCCAGGCTCTGGTTAAAGCAATAGCCAAATGTCAAGGTCTGAAGACTGCTTGGCAGGGTCACTCCTTCCAGGCTCTGGTTAAACGCAGCCCCAAATGTCAAGGTCTGAAGACTGCTTGGCAGGGTCACTCCTTCCAGGCTCTGGTTAAACGCATTCCCAAATGTCAAGGTCTGAAGACTGCTTGGCAAGGTCACTCCTTCCAGGCTCTGGTTAAAGCAATGTTTGAACGTCAAGGTGTGAAGACTGTTTGGAAGAGTCACTCCTTCCAGGCTCTGGTTAAAGCAATAGCCAAATGCCAAGGTCTGAAGACTGCTTGGCAGGGTCACTCCTTCCAGGCTCTGGTTAAACGCATTCCCATATGTCAAAGACTGAAGACGGCTTGGCAGAATCACTCCTTCCAGGATCTGGTCTAACTCATCCCCAAATGTCAAGGTCTGAAGACTGCTTGGCAGAGTCACTCCTTCCAGGCTCTGGTTCCAATTTTCAAACGTCAAGGTGTGAAGACTGTTTGGCAGAGTCACTCTTTCCAGGCTCTGGTCAAATTCACAGCCAACTGTCAAGATCTGAAGACTGCTTGGCAGAGTCACTCTTTCCAGGCTCTGGTTCCAATTTTCAAACGTCAAGGTGTGAAGACTGTTTGGCAGAGTCACTCTTTCCAGGCTCTGGTCAAATTCACAGCCACATGTCAAGATCTGAAGACTGCTTGGCAGAGTCACTCTTTCCAGGCTCTGGTCAAAATCATCCCCAAATGTCAAGGTCTGAAGACTGCTTGGCAGGGTCACTCCTTCCAGGCTCTGGTTAAACGCAGCCCCAAATGTCAAGGTCTGAAGACTGCTTGGCAGGGTCACTCCTTCCAGGCTCTGGTTAAACGCATTCCCAAATGTCAAGGTCTGAAGACTGCTTGGCAGAGTCACTCTTTCCAGGCTCTGGTCAAAATCATTGCCAAATGTCAAGGTCTGAAGACTGCTTGGCAGAGTCACTCCTTCCAGGCTCTGGTTAAACGCATTCCCAAATGTCAAGGTCTGAAGAGTGCTTGGCAGAGTCACTCCTTCCAGGCTCTGGTTAAAGCAATGTTTAAACGTCAAGGTGTGAAGACTGTTTGGAAGAGTCACTCCTTCGAGGCTCTGGTTGAACCAATGGCCAAATGTCAGGGTCCGAAGACTGCTTGGCAGAGTCACTCCTTCCAGGCTCTGGTTAAAGCAATGTTTAAACGTCAAGGTGTGAAGACTGTTTGGAAGAGTCACTCCTTCGAGGCTGTGGTTGAACCAATAGCCAAATGTCAAGGTCTGAAGACTCCTTGGCAGAGTCACTCCTTCCAGGCTCTGGTTCCAATTTTCAAACGTCAAGGTGTGAAGACTGTTTGGCAGAGTCACCCTTTCCAGGCTCTGGTTAAAGTCATCGCCAAATGTCAAAGTCTGAAGATTGCTCGGCAGGGTCACCCCTTCCAGGCTCTGGTTAAACTCATTGCCAAATGTCAAGTGTTCAAGGCTTTCTGGGAGATGGTGCAAATACTTCGTAGTTGTTGCACCGGCTATCTGTGTCACTCCCTGCAATACAAGCTCTTTCTGAGAGACTGGCAAACTTTGGACAGTACACCACGCAGCATAGAGATCTGTTGGAACATAGGTGCACGAGAGTGTTGCATCCTTGCCTACGATGCCTTGCGCCCGCAATTCTTTGTGCAGTATCAGAGGCGAGTCAAGGTGATGCAAGGTAAGCCGTGCACCTTTCTTCCGCGGAAGCTGCTTTGAAACCATCCGGTACACTTCCCAACCAGTGCAGGCACCGCTGAGCTTCAACACGCATCCTTCACCATTCAAGCATTGTGCAGAAAGGTCAATTAAATCTGAGCCATGATTTGGCTCTACATAACCGCCAGCATCACTGGTGGACATCGATCTTTTTCAAGGCCAGGCTGAAAACCGGCCCCTTGAGGTGAAACTTGAGTCCTTCATGACCGCAGTAATCCGCGGGCGATGTAGCATGGCCGGAGGTGTCCATGTGTTTTTACAAAGAGACATTGGGAATTGATTTTTTTTGTGCAGTTTTTTGTGGTTAAAACAATCAAAAACTACCCAATCCATTTGGGAATGGTCAGTTTATAGCACCAAAAATGGTGATTTTCCTGATGTCAGGACAGGATGAACATCCCATCAATCCATGGTATATTTGCTCATGAATAGCAACGTTTTTCGGTGGTTGGGCCAGCGAAAAGTCGAAACCAGTTGAAAACGCTGGTTTCATCCGTTTATCCTATTTATTTATAGGGTTTCAACCATCCGGTGGTGCAGGATTTTTTCTATCCACAGTATGTATAATATTGTATAAGATCATCAATTATTCTTATTGGGCAGGGTTGCTCCCAACACCCCCGATCTTGTGGAGGTAAAATTGCTAAACAAAGATGTTAAACAATCAATTCGAAATATTGACAGATCTCCCATTCTCCCCATGGTCTCCCCATTTTCTAGCGAAATCCCCATGGATTACTGATGACATCTCCATATTTTCACCACCTTAGCCCGCCTCAACACGACCTTTCAGCTCGTTCGGGGTATCCATCCAATCCAAGATGCCATCGAAGATCCATACCAAGCCTTGAGGTCTTCGTAACCCAAAACAATGCTACGAAAGTATGAAAGTTTCTAAGATCCCACTTTAGTAATAGTAAATTGCTCGTCTCATTCATATTTACGGAGCTCGTGATTTTGCCAAAAGTTTCACTGTGCATCATTGTGCATCTTGACATGTACTTTACATTGAAAAAATGAACAACAACAACCACAACAACCACAACACAACAACCACAACAACCACAACCACAACAACCACAACCACCACAACCACCACCACCACCACCACGACGTTAGGATCCAAAGATCAGTCCAAAAGGTTTGACTTGGGTCCCCATCCCAAGTGTTTAGACCTCGATGAATCCCGGGCCAGAAACCGATGAATCCCAGCACCAGCAGCAGCACCAGCAGCCCATAGCGCGCCCGTCGCCATAGGGGTCCTCGGCTCAGATCGCCGTTCGGATCCCCGGGATCCTCAGCATCGGTGGTGTACAGATTGAAGCCGTCCGACTCCGCCGGATCTCTCCGATCCATGGACCATGGCAATCGTCCAGCTGCGCCGAAAGAGAGAAAAAAGGGGATCGGTCTGGCGTTTGGGTCGAAAATTGGAAAATCAAAGCAACTGCAGCAACTACATATTGGAAGGTAGCGCGTTGATGTGAAAACTGGAGTAAATTTCCTCCCCCAAAAAATGAGGATGGTTGAATGCTAAATATGAGCAAATTTGCGGGCAACATAACTGGGACTCGCAAAGCATTATTTCCTATGCATGTCAATGTGACAAAAAGATTGCTGGAAAGAACTCTTCTGAACGGTGGACAACCCGCAGGTTCAGCTCTTACTTTGATTCTTGTCTGAAATCATCCGAACCGACGAGGGGAGGTTCAGGTTCTACACTGGCCAATGACTACTTGAGGGGCAACCTCCTACCACTGGGTTCAACTAGCTACAGCAGTTTTTGTTATTCTATATCATTCTGGGGTGAATTATCGTTGGCTTTCTGGGTGACACCATCAAAAAAGTCTGAGTTATCATTGGCCCGGATTCAAATCCATAAGTTCACCTAAAGCCGTGAATTATTTGTCAAGTTTATCAAAGCTCGAGCCACTCGGCCGCGCAAAGATATTCAATGATTTGCATATCCCTTGGGTGTCGCAGGACTCATGAACGGCCGGTGATTAGACGTCTGGATTCAATAAGAATGATTTAAAATGATTCAGAACTGGTAATGGTCACTTCTGTAACCATGACCATTCTGTACCAATTTGGCCAGAATTCCAACTTCATGACACCCCACCTCTGGGGTTCCACATCTCCGTCTCATTGGTTTGTTTGGACGCATGATAAGTGACAGCAACAAGACTCACCCCTTTTGCCAATCGGAAACTTTGGTTCCAGAAAAAATAAATATCGGAATGTCAGCCCTGAAATTAACGTCGCCGCTTGGACATACTAACAGAAATAGCACGTTTTTGACTATCACTTCGTGAAATTAATGTGGTTAAAACAATAATAAACCACCACATGTTTGATGGTTTATACCACCCATTTATGATATATGTCAAACTTAGGGATGGTTTATCATTGTTTTAACCACACTATATGGGAGTTACCCTGATACGTGAGATTTGTTATGTTTTCTGTCGGTCGCCCCTCTGCTGCACAGCAACTGCAAGCAACCTCCCATGCCAGACCTCATGCGCGATCCCCCAGCGTGACACCCCTCAGATGCACAAAACCAAGTGAGCAAATGTTGGCAAGTCATGGGCTGATGAACTTCGGGCTATGGGTATGTTTGTTAACATGAAACCCAAAAAAATTGCGGGAAATGAAGTGGAAAATCCATCTGTTTTGGGCACAACCTCGGATTCCATGTGTCAAAATTTTCCCCCTTTCCAAACTGAAGAGGGTAATCAGTGTCCGCTCTCTCCCATTGTATCGCATTCCATGCATATACATGTGTATAAAAAACAGTGTATATATATATACATATATGCATATTCAAAGATTTGCATACATGTATACATACATGTATTCTATGTAATATGTGAATATGTGTTTACATCATTAGTACATAAATCCCATAAGTTTCCATTGCTCGTCAGCCTCGGCTGCAGGCGCGCAGCACTGAATCCGCCACCGGCATATCAGGCGCAGGGCCCTGGCCAAGGAGGATATCAAGGTGGTGGAGCCTTTGAAACAGCGAAGTTGATTGAAAACTAGGTCAACTATGGTTTTAACTATGGTTAACTATGGTTTTGACTATGGTTAAATAACGTTCACTATGGTTTTAACTATGGATAAGTATGGTTAAGGATGGTTAACGATGGTGAACTATGGTTAACGATGGTTAACTATGGTTAACTATGGTTAAGTACGGTTAACTATGGTTTTAACTATGGTTAAGTATGGTTAACGATGGTTAACGATGGTTAACGATGGTTAACGATGGTTAACGATGATGAATGATGATTAACGATGGTTTACTATGGTTAAGTATGGTTAACGATGGTTAACGGTTAACTATGGTTATCGATGGTTAACGATGATTAACGATGGTTAACTATGGTTAACAATGGTTAACGATGGTTAACTATTGTTAACTATGGTTAACGCTGGGTAACGATGGTTAATGATGGTTAACAATGATTGTTAATGCTGAGTGATGGTCAACTATGCTTAAGTATGGTTATATAACGATGGTTAACGATGGTTCACTATGGTTAACGATGGTTAACGATGGTTACCAATGGTTAACGATGATTAACGATGGTTAACTACTGTTTAACAACGGTTAACGATGGTTAACGATGGTTAACTATGGTGAAGGATGGTTAAGGATGGTTAACGATGGTTGACTATGGTTAACGATGGGTAACGATGGTTAACTATGGTGGTTAACAATGGTTAACTATAGGGTTAACTATGGTTAACGTTGGTTAGCGGGTGTTAACGATGGTTAACGATGGTTAAGGATGGTTTACGATGGTTAACGATGGTTAACTATTGTTTAACTTTGGTTAACGATAGTTAATGATGGTTAACGATGATTAACTACGGTTAATGTTGGCTTACCATGGTTAACGATGTTTAACGATGGATAACGATCGTTAACGATGGTTAACGATGGTTAACGATGGCTAACTTTGGTTATCTATGGTTGACTATTGTTAACTATGGTTACCTATGGTTAACGATTGTTAACGACGGTTAACAATGATTAACATGGTTTAATGCAGATCTCACTATAACTGTAGGTGGTTGGGGTTCACTATAGGTCAACTTATATCAAAGTGCCCCTTAGATAGCTAAGTTTAAAAGTGAAATATCTTTTCAAAATACCACCATTGCCGTTGGTTACATCCACCATTTTAAGGCCACCGGAAGCTGTGCCTCCATCAACATCTGACCAAAGATCGAGAGCGCCCAAGTCCACTGCTCTGCGCGTTCACAAGCACTCACTACCTTAGGGGGACCAAGCCGTCAACAGGTTCCAAATCATCACCAGTCATGGTATGTTTGGAATTTCAATGGTATGTATCCAACATGTTGATCCTGGTAAACTTAAAATCAAAAATCCGTGGAAACAGGTCTCGTGTATTTTCCTTCAAGGTACTGATCACTTTTCCAGTAAGAATCAGTGGATAAACAAATCTCTCGTGTTTTTTTAACCCCATTATCAAATATTCAATTCGACCAGAAATAGCTGGTGTAAACATCTATAAACCATCCCCCAAACGGGCGTCTGGCTTATTGGCTTTACCCATTGAAGGAAGGGGAGCTCCCAACAAGCTGCGGCCAAACTACCGCACCCGCCACTTTCACGTTGGGCGTGGCGAAGGAAGACCAGAGATGTAAGGCGTCACTCCAACGCGCTCCTGTGGTAAACCGTTGGTAGATGGTGGTGGTTGTAGCCTCTGGTAACTTAACATTGTGCTTAATAGTGATAAATAATGATTAATAGTGATGCATAGTGGTAAATAGTGATCAATAATGATTAATAGTGACTATTGAGGAATACCCTCTGATAATTTAACATAGCTATTGAAATAGTGATAAATAGTGGTCAATAATGATTAAATTAATAATGACTATTCAGGATATACCCTCTGATAATTTAACATAGCTATTGAAATTGGCACATTTAGTTCGTTGATTTACCTATTAACATGGTGATTTTCCGATAGTTATGTTAGTTTACGATATGGCAAGCCACTAAACAAGTTTTAGATACCTTGCTCTACCATACAAAAGAACTATGGAAATCGATGAGGAAAACCCATTTGGAAATGATCCATATCTATGATTATCTATGTGAGTTACCAGAAGGTACTCTGTACTCTCCAGCAATCAAACCTGACAAGATTCATGGTGTCCGTTGCAAGGTTTCATTGCCAGCCCAAAGGATTAAGGACATGCGCTACCCAGCGGCTTATCATCTTGTTTCCCCATGAAGATCACACACAAAACGGAGAGAATTCCTCCCATGTTTGGACAAATCCCTAGCCTTATTTGTTGCTGATCTATCCAAAAAACGTCCGATCAACTCTCCAGTTCCATGCCCAAGAAATGGTCGGTTGGATATCTCCAAATTGCCCATGATGGTTGTTGTAAATCCTGAAAAAGCGAATGATTCCCACTCAATATGCCAATCATATCCCTGAAAAATCATATCCCATTGTACCAAGCTTCATGGCATTTTCGTGGCCATATGTTGCAGCAAAACTCTCACATCACCAAGCTCCGGCCTTTGGCCAACGCACTGGCCAATGCGCCTATGGCCACAGCATCGGCAGCATCGGCAGGCAGCAACTGCAACGCAGCCTGGGAGTGGAAGGAGTGGATGATCGAATTCCACAAGGAATCCAAAGCGAACCTCCCAACACTTCGGGGAACTCCATTTTTGGGGGTCTTAAGATATACTCTTTTGGGATGTGATGTTTCAATGAGGGATTGGAGATTGGTAGCCCAAATCGACCAGCCGGGCTTTATTGAGCCAGGATAGGGATTGATGCTGGGAATTCACCAAAGGGAAGTCATGGGGGAAATTCTGCATGAAAATGGCCAAAAAAAGGGTGAAGCAGCGGAAAAATCTGGCGTTTGAACATGGTTTGCTGGACCTCTTGGGAGTCAAATTCGCTGGTCGTTTTCAAGGGCTGGTGAGTTGAATCTGTTCGGGACGGGCTTCAACCAATAGGCCCAATAGGCTAAGTCAAAAAAACGGGTGGCTTAGGAAACAAGAACTGGGGACTAAAGCGGCCAACTTGAGAAGCTCCATCGACCCCAGCAGAGGAAAAACGATGCGGATGGTCATCCCTTTGTGAACAACAGATCCTGTGGCCTGTTTCCATCCCCATGGATACACGATGCTTTCCCGGGAAAATCTGCCAAGCCTCTGGATATTCATCGCTCCTGTGGCCTGCTTCATGAGTAGATTCTGGAGGCTTATAACTAACGAAGGGATTGGGATGGTAGATCGAACTAACTGTGGCCCTCCCAGTTCCAAGTTGATTTTGTAATAACTATAGGACTATAAGTATCATAAACCATAGTTATTGGAGTTACAAACCAACTTAGCTGTCATTGGGTGGCCACTTTGTAGGGGGCACCACCTTGTCTTTGATATCTTTGATGGAAACCTCAGCAGACAAGCCCACGGATCGTCAAGTGGGCCTCCCACATGAAGGCTCTTTCGCAGGCATTGGCCACAGCCGTGCGGACCACCAAATCTGGCTGCAGCCGCTCCTGGAATTCCTACAACTTACCCAGAGTCTTTGCTCAAACCAGGAGAATCACCCAGTGTTTTGATGGTTGAACACATGTTTTTAGACTTTTTTGGGCAGCTTTCATGAATTTCTCAGGCAAGTGTGCGGTTGGTTGAGAGCCTCTAACTCTGAAGAGGAAAGTCACCTAAAAGGGCAATGTGTATTGACCTCACCTGCAAGAAAGGGGTCACTGAAGCCGCAGCGAGTTGAACCAGCAGAAACCTGATATCATACAACCAGCATCAAATCTGGACGGGTCACGTCCTTGGGTACCACCGGATTTTGATGCTTCGATACTCAAAATTGCCAGAATCGGTCCATGAGCCTTTGATTTTGACCAACTGTGAATAGGCACAATCCCCGCGTCGGCAGAATCACCATTGGAGGCTTCTCTAAACCTTCATTTCTTTTCCGGAGATGATGAAATCTTGAAGCTTCTCGAGAACTACAGTACCAATGTATTTTGATGTGGGAAAACACACATATATATATTTATATATGCCACAGCTGTCAATAGGCAGATTCCCAAAGATTCCCCCCATTCTTTTGTCCTGAACTTCCTGAACCCATCCCCTTGATGGCTCTCACTGCGCAGTGATTGTGAATGATGAGAATGGGATGGAATGGGAATCATACGAAAATTCATCAGATGAATCAGATGGATTACACAGGATGGTCCCCCCCAGTTATAAATTGGTTTATAAACCACTAAAACCCGCATTAACTATGGTTATATCTACCATAAACCATAGAATTCAGCCACTTATAAAGCAACTTAGCTATCTTGGGGGCCCCATCCTGCAAGTCTTCCCAACGTTTCCAGCTCCCCGCCTGTCGCATCTTGCTCAGGAGCTCCAAGGCCTTGTCCCCACGAAAACGCAGCGCAAAGGCCGTGGCGCCAAAGCCTAGGTCGTGTCACGACTTTTTCGTGGATGATGTCCATCCGTACCGGAGAACAATATGGACCATCCACACGCGTATATATGTTCATATTTATACATATATACGTATATATATATATACGTATTAATAAATATATTTTTTATATTTATACATGTATATATATATATCATATATATATATATATATTTCGTATATATGTATATATACATATGAAATATGTATGAATGTACTTATCTACACCCCATGTACATTTGGGATATATAATCACTTGAAGACTTTCCATCCAGGGTTGGTAAAGTTAGTAACCCCAGGAATTCTAAGTGGGTTAGTTCACCAAAATTAGTTCGTAGAATAACTGGTTGGTGGTTTCAACCCCTCTGAAGAATATGCTCGTCAGTTGGGATGATTATTCCCAACTGAATGGAAAATTAAAAATTGTTCCAAACCACAAATCAGATAAGTAGGGGCAATGTCCAGCTTGAACGATCGGAGTGAACAAATTACGATCTCTCGGGCACACCACCAAGTAACCATGGGTGTTTTGGGGTCACATTTTCAATAACCCATCTGAAATGTCCCATGATTATTCCATCATTCCCATTGAATGGGTTTGTAAGATGGCGAATTCCATGGGTAGATAGCAATTATTGAAATTGTTCGGAATTATTATAATCATGACCTGAGAATCAATGGTGACAAAATTGGCATGACATTGGATGATCATGAGGTAAGCCCAATTGAAAACGAAGAATTATGGGAGATCGAAATTTAGAGTCTTAGAGGTGTGGGATATGCGTACCACCTAGTCTTTGACCCAGAAGAAATGATTTTGGTGGTAAAAAAATATGGATTGTATAAATATATGGTCCGGCTGAATTTCAGAAAATGATTGACAAACCTTATAAGTTCTACAGCTTCGAATCAATGCAGCGGCTCGGGACTAGAGGGTTACATAATAGCCATCAATTTGAGGGGATAGGAGAACGAGCCGTCGCCCAACGTGCTTGATTTTCTATACGTCGTGGGTGTGCAGAAGCTGTTTAGTAAACAAACAAATTCTACGGATTATGCCTTACCCATAAAGCACATTTATCGTCTTCTTCGGCCAGTGAGGTTGCGCAAAAAAAAAATCAGAATGTTGCAGGTCAGAGACCTTTACAGACAAAAACCTTGGTGTTAAGGACCAACAAAAAACTTGCAACTGATAAGTTAACCATCAGATGGTTATATAATGGTAACCAAACACCTTGCTGGTCAACCATGATGCATTTGTCATCACCTTTGCCACTATATATAAAATTACTTCCATTTTTGATCGGACCTTTGATGATAAGACTCACAAGCCCTGCCGAGCTACTTTTCATGTCCGGCCGCTGATGCCTGGTAATGGTGCAATGGTCCGGATCAGCCATTCATGGGGATTGGTTGCATATCTTTGCACCAGGTTTTTTTTACCCCAAAAAAATACCACAACTTCCAAGGCTTCACCAATCAATAATATCTATATTATTGAACATGTATACATATACATACATATATGATATACAATTATATCATATACATAAATTAAAAAAATACAATATATATATATATATCAATAATACATAAATAACATAT